CCCCCAGTGTGCGGCGCATTACCGCGCTGTCCTAAGCCTCCTGCCCCTCCAGCGGCGGCCCACTCACATCAAGCCGTGCCAGCGCCGCAAACTCATCGATGCGCTCGCTGCACTGTCGCAGCTCATTGTTCGAGGCATTGAGCACGCTGAGCTCGGGGCGCTCGAACCACGGCCGCGTGCTGCTGCTGCGCCATGCCGGTGGGTCGGCGCTGAGCAGGTCCCACAGCTGCGGCGGCAGCTGCGCCAGCGCCGGATGCCGTGCAGCCAGGTTGGCGCGGCCCGTCACAGCGGCCTTGTTGAGCAGTGCCGAAAGAGGCGCCTGCGCCAGGGCCAGCTCGTCGAGGTCCGGCGCGGAGTTCGAGGCACTCAGAGACAGCTCGGGCGAGGCCGTGCCGGACGCGGGCGGCGAGCCGGCGGGCGAGGCACTGCCGATGCTCTGCTGCTGCTGTGCAAGCGCCTTGCGCCGCGCCGCGATGGCCGCCTTGACTGCGGCGGACATGGCGAGTGCGCTTCGGAAGAGGAGAGGATGCGGTGCGGAGAGAAGGAAGGAAGGCCACACAGCGGCGCGCGGCGCAAAGCACACCGCTGCCCGGCCCGACGCGGCGCTGTTCCCACGCCGTGTTGCTCCACACGCGCCAAGGCCTGATCCACCAGCGGTGCCGCCTCTTCCCTCAGCACCAGCACACCTCCTTCGCAATCGCGGTCTGCACAAGCATCGCATCACATTCACTTCACTTCCACACAGATGGCAGCTTCTCAGGCACGCAGGCCGCGCACCTCGCCGTCGCACGTGTCGAGCGCATCGTACAGCGCACTCGCCGTCTTGGCCGCACGCACGCCCGACGCCAGCATGCCGCCGAACGAGGCACCCATGCGCGGGTGGCCGTCGAGCTCCGACAGCTCCATGCCGCCGCAGATCTGCGCAGTGGGTGTAAGCGGGAGTCTGACGAAACGATGATGTGCGGCGAGGCATGGCCCAGCGGTGAGCTTGTTTGCTGCTGGGCACTGCTGCAGTCCGCCGCCGCCGTGAAGCGCCACAAGCCGGCACACGCACCATGCCCGGGAAGACCTCGCGTGTGTGGTTGACGATGCGCTCCTCGCTTGCGTTCATGTCCATCGGTGCCATGTCGCCCAGCTTGACGAGGCCGGCGCTCTCGAGGCGCTTGACGGCGAACGCGCCGAAGGGGCCGTCGTGGCCGGCAAAGGAGCACACGACGGGCGCGGTGATCGTCTGCGGGTCCATCTGTGGCGAGCATGGTGAGTCGAGCATACGAAGGTGAGGTGCGGCATGTACTTACGCAGGACTGCAGGCCGTGTGCGAGCGTCACTGTGCAGGGTGTGAGCGGTGCACGTAGGCAACGGCACAAGCGACGCACCAAGCGTGTAGTTGGTGACGACGCCGTTGACGCGCTTCACGCCCTGCTCGTCGACCTTGATGATCAGGTCTGGGATGTTTCGTCAGCTGGTGCACCGCCGTGCTGCACCTAGCCAGCACTTACCCTCTATGCACGACCATGAAGCATTCGCCACACCGTCAGCTCCGACACGAGGAACGCCACACGACCACGACTCACCGGCACACGTGGCGTTGAAGAGCGTCACGTTGGGCAGCCGCAGCACGGCGGAGAGGATCGTGCTGGTGAAGAGCGCGGCGTGCTTGACCACGACGTACGTGCCCTCGTCGTCGAAGGGGATCTGCAGCTCTGCGAGGACAGGTGTGAGCCCATCATCAACGACGCATCGGCTGCTCTGAACGCACTCTCAAGCAGGCGGTGCGCCGGCTTGCGGATGACCATGGCGCTCATCAGCTGGCCCTGTGGAGGCAGAGTGTGTCAGCTGCAATGGCACGACGCATCTTCAAGTCCATACGCACGCCGAGCCACGCGCCGCCACCGGGTGCCACCGAGGCCTCGAGGATGGTGATGCGCAGGTCAGGGCGCGCCGTGCCGAGCTCGTAGGCGCACGCCAGGCCCGCCGAGCCGGCGCCGATGATGACGACGTCCGACACGGCGGCGTTCATCATGCCCTCGTAGTAGCGCGCCGTCATGGCGCGGCTCGTGTGGCTCTCCTTGATGTGCGCGAAGCGGTAGTTGCCGGACTCAAAGTCCTCGACGGGCTCCTCGCCGGCCTTGATGGCGACGTGGGCACGCGGCAGCGCATACTGGGCGCCGACACCGGCGGCGCGAGCCTTGAGCGCATCGACCGAGACGGGCGTCTGCGCCAGCGGCGCGGCGAAGGAGGCGGAGGGAGGAGCCATGGTGAGTGATGAGTAGATGATGTGCGGTGGGGTGGAGCTGGGCTGCAGAAGACGAAAGCCTGAAGGGCAACTCTTATACGTTGCGGGCGGCACGGTGTTCTGACCGCTGATTGGCTTGCAGTGCTGAGCAGTAGACGAGGGGCTGGGATGCGGCCGCCTCGCTGGCAAGATCAACGCAGCACGAGGACCGATCCTCACAGCCACTGTCTGCCGACTGGCGCCAGAGCCTAGGCACGGCGAGGGCCCGAAGAGGACGCGGGCGTGGTCGATGCGAGAAGTGTGCTCTCCTGCTGCGCGGGGCGATGACTACGAGCAGGACAGGCTGCAAGTGCCTCAACACGCCTTGTGCTCGGCCGTCCCAGCACGGAGATGCTCAGGTCAGGCACCAGGCGGCGAGGCCAATAGGGGCGCGAGCGAAGGCATTGGACGGCGGAGCCACGAGCCGGCTGGTGCAGGATGCGCGTCCGTGCGTGGGTACGGCCGTGCTGATCTAGCGCACAGGAGGCACTCTACTTCGCTGGCACTTGCAAGGTCGGTGAGCGAGCACCGAGGACGCACGCCACCAGAGGTCCGCTCTCGCTAAAGCGAGAGCCAACCCGCCGTCGATGATTGTCTGGCAACACTTCCTCTCCGCCGCGCTTCCTCACCTCGGTGCCCGACGTGCGGAGAGCTTCTCTCCTCTGAGCCAGCTTCCTCGTCAAGGCACATCTGCTCTGCGGCGGCCTCTGACGAACCCTCTGCCCAGGAGTCCAGCAGCGATGCCTGCACCTGCAGCAGGCGCCAGCCCACGCAAGCATCACCGGCAATCCCCCTCGCCAGTAGTGCCGGTGCGACGGCGATGCTGCCGCGCTGCAGCACCTTCGCCGCACGGCAAGCACGCTCCGCTTTCGCCAGAACCGGGACACTGAGAATCGATCTGCGCTGCTGTTAGGCCGTGCACGCTGCACAGCACGCCTTCGCAGACAGGCTCAAGCGACCATGCGCACCCTGCGAGGCCCTGGCGGTCGGTGAGCGGCGACACACACTTGCCGTACGCCTCTCCGGTGCTGTGCTTCTTCTCACGACCGACCCCGCCGCACGGAATATCCCGATGAGCAAGGACGCTAGCAAGCCGACAGGTCTCCTGCGGCGCCAGCGCAGTATGCGTGTGAGAGCAGCGTCAGGACTGGGGCTGCACGTGGTAAGCCTGCGGATGCCCTCGAGGTCCGCACCTGGCAAATGATCTTGCAGCCACTCAGCGGCGGCACTATAATGTGACTCGACGAGGGAGGCGGCCAATCAGTGTGGCCTGTGCAAAGTGGCGGTATGCGGCCAACTGCCTTCGATGTGTGCTGCTGCACCTGCGTGCCACTATTTCCAGGCGACAGCGCAGCGTCGAGAGCGGCGGCTTGTACCGCAGCCACCTTCTGACGCAGCATGCTGCGCTGCGCTGTGCGCACAGCCGCTCAGAAGCACAGCCGCATGGTCGGGCTTCTCGAAGCGCTCTCGGACTCTGGATTTGCAGCATCACACAGGTGCAGGGGACGGCCACATCGGTGACGAGCCAAATTTCGAGATGACCGAGCGGCATCGGTCACCGAGCGCGCTGCGCGCCGCGCGCCTTAAGCATGGGGGGCGACCCGCGTGGTCGGCTGAGCGCCGTCTGGGCATCATGCGTCCCTCGAGGCGGGTCCACGTTCGCTGGAGGCTGCTTCTGCCCTCCTCGGCAGTGGCCTTAGCTCATCGGCAGCTCCAAGGGTCGGACAGAGACCGCCGAGCGCCGCAAGCCGAGGCAGCTCGCGCTTTTTGACGGCTCGGCATCATGCTCGGCACGCGCACTCCATTCATGCGCATGGCTGCTGCGCCTGTGAAATCGCAATCGGGGCTGGACCCTCGCTCCGTCCGCGGAGCAGGCGTGAATGAGCAAGCTTCGTTGCCTGCACCTGTCATCGCATGGTTGCTGCTGCGGCACGGCGTCTTTGACAGCTGGGCCAGGTACGGCTTGGCGAGGCCCTGCGTGCCCAACGGCTCCGCTGCCAGGGGTGCCCGTCTGGCACGCGTCATGCGTGCGGCCATCGCGCGTCGCGTGGGCGTGGCCGCTCAGTCATCGGGTGCAGTGCCGAGAAACACAGCGAGACCTTCGCGAGAGAGGCATCACCCTGCCAAGACACACAAGCATACCTTGCGCCCGGGGCTGCGTGCGGTGCCCTTGACGGAGCGGCGGCGGCAAGGGAAAGCGGTCTGCGAGGAGCCCAAGGGCACCTGATGCGCTTGGCAGTCCCGCAGCTCCATCATGCTCTCGCCTCGCAGTCGGCTCATTGAGGCAGGGCAGATGCGCAGCGGCGCAGGCGCCGACATGAGCGTCCGAAGCGCTGCCGGCCTCTGGGGCAGCTTCCAAAGAAGTGCTCCCAGGCCAGCGGCCCTCGCTGGTGCCGCCGCCGCGCACAGAGCGCCTCACATGGCCGGGTATATCGATGTGCGAGGCCGTTGCTGTGTCTCTGGCGCCGGTGACTCGCAGCGGCCGGCGGGTGCGCGCAGAGGAACGCTCCGAGCGCGTGTGCAGCCTGCCCGAGAGTGAGGGCCGCCGACGAGGCCGCAACGGCGCGCGCCGATGTGCCGCGGGTACCTTGTGCTTGCTGAGCCGTTGGCAAGCGTGGCCGATGCAACCTGCCAAGTGCGGACGGCGGACGGCGCTGACGGAGGAGGAGAGCCAAGGACGAGGCGCGGCGCATTCCACCCCTGGCGGTGTGGCGGGCGCGCCAACGACGACGACGCGCAGCCGGCACCGCCCGCAGCAGCCGAGTGCTGCTCTGCTGCTGCCCTGCCCGCCGTGGGAGCAGCACCCTCAGCAGCAAGCACGCACCTCTATCAGGCGCATAAGCACTCCTGCGCCGCAGATCCAAGCGCCGACGCCGATCAGGGCCCCTCGTGCCGCCGCATGCCATGCGCCCGCGGCACGCAGCGTGAGCCCTCGGCGCTGCCGCCGCAGCCGGAGCCGCACCACGAGACCCGCAGCCGGCTGCCATTTGACGCCGAGCGCCTCTCCGTGCCGAGCTTTTTGCATTTGCGATGCCGCGCTCCGGCTCCGCCGTGCATGAGCCCGCAGCAGCGGCGCGAGCGAGGCCCTGACGCCGGCTTGGCAGACGCGCGCGGCCCTCGTCGCCGCCATCGCGGCCCGGAGCGCTCCAATACAGCGCAGACGGGCCTTTGTGTGCGCCTGCTGTGGTGCCGTGGGCTGCTCTGCTGCACGCTCGTGGTGCCGAGCCGCGGCCGTTGGCGAGACTTCTGGGCGGCGGCGGCGCCAAAGCGATGGCAGGCCGAGCCGTTGTGGGACGCCGTGCGCCATCAGGCAGGGCCATGTCTCGGCACCGCACGCGCCGGGCGCAGCCGCACACGCCGCCGCAGCCAGCCGCCGAGGCTGCGCTGCGCTCGCCCGACCCGAGACGCTCGCCCGCCGCAGCCAGCCGCCTGCGCTGTCTTCCGGGGCGCTGCTGGACCCAAGACTCGGGCGCAAGTGCCCGCCACGCCGTCGACGCCCAAGGGTGCAATAAGAAGCCGAGGGCGCGGTAAGTGCCGCCCCGCAGACGCCCTCCGGACCCCTCTCGCCCCATAGTCCTCTCCTTCCCGCCCTCTGCTCTGCTCCCGTCGTGCTACTCTTACACTCCACGCTCATTTGCCAGCTATAAGAGCGCAGCCCCGCCGCTGCCGTCCGCATCTTCTTACTTCGTCTCTGTCCTGGCCTTCGCTTCTCGACCACGCCTCCGCGATGCGCTTCTCCACTGTGCTCTGCGGTCTCGCTGCCCTGACGCTCAGCCATGCGCTGCCCACATCCCTCGACGCGGCCGCACCACGCAACAGCAGCGCCTTGCGTGAGCCGCTGCTGCTGGCCTCGCGCGACATCTTCACCGACATGCGCGGCGACGGCACCGACGGCGACGGGCCGATGCTCACCAGCGTCGGCTCGACGCCGCCGTACGCCTTTGCCACGACGATTCCCGTGGGGCCGTTTGAGCTGTTTGCATGGCAGAGTAAGACGCCGAACAACGAGGCCGACGCCGAGAGCGTCTTCATCATTCTGCACGGCGTCGAGCGCAACGCAGGCACATACTTCCGCATCCTCAACAGCATCTTCTCGGCGGCCAACAAGCGCAAGCTCGGCTCGGCCGTCGACAATTCGATCCGCCTCTCGCCGCTCTTCTTCTCGACGGACCGCGATGCTCCTGCGCTGAACGCCACGACGCTGGGCTGGGATGACCCCAACGCATGGACGGGCGGCGACGGCAGCACGCACCCGCTGGGCAGCAACGTGTCGCTGTTCTCGGCGTACGACGCGCTGCTGCTCAAGTACAGCAACCGCCTGATGTATCCCAAGATGAAGACCATCACCTTCCTCGGCCACGGCGGCGGCGCCCAGGTCGTGCAGCGCTACGCCGTGCTGGGCCGCGAGAATCCGGCCAAGAAGCGCATCAGCGTGCGCTACGTCGTCGCCGACCCCTCGTCCATGCTCTACTTCACGTGAGGCTGCACGAGCCGTCCGCCCGCCACAGCCGCTGACCCTCTCGCTCGCAGACGTGATCGTCCCGTGCCCGTCGACACGACCGAGTGCTCGTGGTTCAACGACTTCCGCTACGGCTTCAGCAACTACCGTGCGCCCTACCCGCTGCTCGGCTCCGCCAGCGCGCTCTACAAGCGCTATGCCGCACGCGATGTGCGCTACGTTGTCGGCCTCGACGATGTCAGCACCACCAACGGAGACCAGCTGTGCGGCGGCCGCGCCGCTGGCGGCGCATACCGCTACGTGCGCTCGCTGGCGTACTTCAAGTACCTCAACATCCTCGGCGGCGCCCGCGCCTCGACGTACGACGGCCTGCCGGGCACGTTCCCGGCGCTCGACTCGCGCGAGCCGGCCAACTCGATGTACCCGACGTCGAGCAGCAGCCAGCTGCGCCCGTTCCGGAGCACAAAGGTCGGCCACAAGCTCGTCGGCATCCACGGCGCCGGCCACTCGGCCGAGGAGGTGTTCGAGAGCACGGCGGGCATGCGGGCCCTCTTCCTGCCCGCCGCCTCGCTGCCGGCCATGACGATGTAGCCGTCTCGCCGTCTGGCTTGCCCCTGGTCCCGTCACACTGCACCCCATCCAGACTCGCTCATGCATCCCGCCTCCTGTATCCTGCATCTATCTCGATCTCCCTGTCGCCGCGCCCCATCGATCGCGCGCTCAATACCCACCGCATGTCCTGCTGCAATAGACAACAGATAAAGTACACTCGAAGAGTCGCGAGAAGGGTATCGTACAGTTGGAGGCGAGAGAAGAAGGCTGCATCTGATCTGCGGCGCGCTCATTGCACGCCGGCCCAGAGCTGGCTGGCGACCCAGTGCGGCGTGATGCGGTAGCGCTGCAGGTGCTCGGCGTCGACCTTGATCGTGTTGACCTGCTTCGACGAGGCCGAGACGACGTCGAGCAGGTCGAAGACGGGCCGGTCGGGCGTCGACTTGGCGGGCATAAAGCCAAAGTTGCGCATCATCTGCAGCTTCAGTCTGTGGAGAGAGTCAGTTGCTCGTCAGCGCTGGTCTCCCCCGCATTCCTGCAGTACACTCACGCCTGCTGGTCCAGATCCTCCACCACCACCGGCTCGGCGCGCACAATTTCCTCCTGCGCATCGCACGCGGCGCGCAGCTCCACCTCGACGCCGTGCAGGCGCTGCTCCTGCTCGTTGATGCGCTTGGCACACTCGAAGCGCTTCGTCTCTAGCCGGTCCATCTCACGCCCGTGCGCCGCCGTCGAGCGCCAGTCGGTGGCGCCCCGCGTAGTTGTGCTGCGCAGCTGCGCTAGCACATGGTCGAGCTCTGGGGGCGCCAGTGTCAGCCAAGGACATTGCGGAGCATTTCTGAGGCATCTACCAGCTCGGAACAGCGGGGCCACCACGCCCAGAGCAGCGCACTGCGTCGATGGCACTGCCGACCCTCACCCGTGCACTCGCGTATCACCTCGTCGAGCAGGAGTGTGACGCCACCGTCCTGCGTCACATCACTACCTGGCCCTGCGCGCACCATCTGCTCTGCATATCCCGGTGCTCGGTACTCGCTCTCGCCCCGCCCCCTTATTCCTATCTGTAACGCTGCCTGCTGCCCTGCTGGCCCTCATTGCTGCGCGACTTACCGCCGATGCGCTGTGTCTCCTCCTGCAGTGCGACCTGCCTGCGGTGCGAGGCGGCGTCGAGCTGCTGCTCGATGGCGGCGAACTGCTCGAGCTCGTCGTCGGTGGTGAGGCTCTCCTTGAGCAGGTTGAACACATCGCTGCGGCGGGCGCGTGTCAGTGCTGCAGCAGCAGTGCAGTGAGCGCTGCGACGCACAAGATGTCGATGGCGTCGTACTCCTCGGCCATGGCTGGTGTGGGATGGGATGGTGGTGGTGAGGCGCAGCCACGCGCATGTGGAGCGTGGATGTTGCTTGGCGCGGCGCGACGCGCGAACAACACTTGCGCGCCGCCGCGCCGCATCCGCCCAGTCGCACGCGCGGCGTCACGTGAGAGCAACACTTGGCTCAAAAGCGGCGGCCTGAGCGCCGATCACACGACCGTCCTCGCCTCCACCACCTCTGCCCTCCCCACCGCCTGACTTCGGCCATGGCGAACCCACGTTCCTTCACGCTGCGCGGCGACGCGCAGCTCAAGCTCTCGTCGCGCGACGACATCGCGCCGTACCTCGAGAAGCTCGACGCCATCGAGGACCTCGAGGAGGTGCACCTCGGCGGCAACTCGCTCGGCGTCGAGGCCTGCCGCGCCCTCGCCGAGGTGCTGCAGCGCAAGAAGCAGCTCAAGGTGTGTCGCGTGAGGCCTCACAGTGGCGTGCCGCGGCTCACACCCCCCACAGATCGCCGACTTTGCCGATATCTTCACGGGCCGCCTCATCGACGAGATCCCAGATGCGCTGCGGGCGCTCTGTGACGCGCTGCTCGAGACCGAGTCGCTCGTCGAGCTTGACCTCTCCGACAATGCCTTTGGCGGCCGCAGTGCTGAGCCGATGGTGCAGCTCCTCACGCACAACCACGCGCTGCAGGTGCTCAAGCTCGCCAACAACGGCCTCGGCATCACCGGCGGCACCATCGTCGCCAACGCCCTCACTGCCGCGGCCAAGGAGCTGCAGAGCCAGGGCCGCGAGTCGAACCTGCGCACCGTCATCTGCGGGCGCAACCGCCTGGAGAACGGCTCGGCGCCGGCGTGGGCCGAGGCGTTTGCGGCGCACGGCCGCCTGCGCGAGGTGCGCATGTACCAGAACGGCATCCGCATGGAGGGCATCGAGGCCATCACCTCGGCGCTGACCAAGTGCCCGACGCTCGAGGTGCTCGACCTCATGGACAACACGGCCACGCTGCGCGGCTCGCGCGCCATTGCTGCCTGCCTGCCCTCGTGGCCGGCGCTGCACACGCTCAACCTCAACGACTGCCTGCTGCGTCCGCGCGGCGGCGCCCTCGTGGCGCAGGCGCTCGGCAAGGGCAACAACAAGGCACTGCGCAAGCTGCAGCTCGGCTACTGTGAGCTCGACCCCGCGGCGCTCTCGGCGCTGGCAAAGGCCATCTCGGCGCATCTCGAGCAGCTCGAGAGCCTCGATGTGAACGGCAACTGGGCGGAAGAGGATGATGAGAGTATCGAGAGCATCAAGAAGGCGTTGGAGAAGTGGGGCCACGAGGAGGGCCTGGAGGAGCTCGACGACCTGTGAGTGGCATCGTGAGCAAAGCGGAGGGCTTGGCTAACCCTGTCCGCACAGCGACCCGGAAGGCGAGCTGTCTGACGCCGAGGGCGAGGATGCCGCAGTCGCAGACGAGACCGAGGCAGAGGATGACGAGGACGAGCTGGCGGAGACGACCGCTGCGACGGAGCAGCTCTCTGTCGCGGACACGCAAGAGGTGAGACTGGCAGGCGAGCCGCATCTGCTTAGCTGCTGACGCGCGCCTGCAGCCCGAGTCCAGCGAGCAGCACAGCGATGTCGCTGGCACGGCTGCCGCCGTCGTTGCTGCGCCAGCCGCAACAGCAGCTGTCGCCAGCGAGGGCATCACGCGGGCGGTCGACAACGCGCGCCACCCGGCGGACGTCGAGGACGAAGCGGCGCCTGCAGCGCGCGGCGACGACACTGCCGAGGTGGCGGCGCTGGAGGAGGGCGACGGCGACGTGCGCGTGCCTGCGGCTGTCGAGGAGCCCGTTGCTACCGCACAGGACGCCTCGGCGCCGGAGGAGCCGATCGCGGCCACGCAGTCGGAGGAGGTCAGCGCACCAGACGCTGCAGCAGCACCCGAGTCCGCTGCCGACAGCACGCCTTTCGAGCCCATCACCGACGCCTCGCACGCTGCGCCGCCCGTCGCCGAAGAGGCCACCGAGGCCGAGAGCGCCGCCCCGGCATCTGCTACCGAGAGCAGCGCGGAGCCGAGCGTGCCTGCGCTCGTCGCCGTGCCTGAGCCGGCGGAGCAGCAGGGCGCTGAGACGATCGAGGAGGCGGCGGAGGCTGCCGGACCCCAGGTGGCGCTCGACGCTGCGGCCAAGGGCGAGGCTGGTGAGGCGCCGCCGACCGAGGTGGAGGAGGACGAGCCTACAGCGCCTGCTGCAGAGGCAGAGTCGACGCCTGCGCCTATCGAGACGACGCAGTCCGACGCAGCAGAGGCAGAGGCGCCTGCGCCTATCGGTACGGCGCAGCCCGAGGCACCCGCTGCGGCCACCGACAGCGAGCCGGTCGCAGCGCCGCAAGAGACGGACCCGGCAGTCTACCTGCCCCCGGCGGCGGCGGCGGACCAGGAGGCGGCAACGACGGCGTCGGAGGTGGCTGAGAGCGCGCGCGAGGTGCCCGAGGAGAGCGAAGCTGCTGACGTCGCTGAGGAGGTCGCCGACAGCGCACGGGAGGTGCCAGAAGAGCACGAGGCGGCTGCCGTCGCCGACGAGGTGGCACAGAGCGCCGCCGACGTGCCGATGGAGGATGCGCAGGCGCAGACGGCGGCCGACGTTGCCGAGACGGCGCAGGAGCTGCACGCCGAGGACACGCAGCAGGACGCGCTTGCTGCGAGCGACTCGGCGGCGCAGCCCATCGCCGTCGAGCCGCACTCGACGCAGCTCGCCGAGCCGACTGCCGGCGAGACGACACGCAGCACCGACGCCGAGCCGTCTGCGCAGCCCATCGCGCCTGCCAGTGCGGCGGAGCTGGCGCCTGCGTCGACTGCCCCTGTTGCGGGGCAGCAGGCTGCGCTCCCAATGCCCGTCAGTGCCACGTCCGGCGCTTTCGGCATCGGCATTGGCGGCGCCAACGCCGTCTACTCGCAGCTGAACCCCGGCGCACCGGGCGCCGGCTCGAGCACCAGCGACGTCGCCACCACGCAAGACTCGTCGCCCGCGCCGCAGACGCCTGAGCCTGCTGCTGCCGCTGCTCCCGACGTCGAGCAGCTCACGCAGCAGATGGCTCAGACCAACCTCGCTCCCGCTCCTAACCACGGCCGGTGAGTTGCGAAAGCGCGCGTCAGTCACCAGAGCGCGACTGACATCCCTACCACGACTCTTAGGCAGGAGTCGCAGGACCTCAGTGGCGAGCTCTTCTCGCGGGCGCCGGCTTCTTCGTCGGACACGCCGGCGGACAGTGCTGCGCCGCGCGCCAGGAACCCCTTCCGCGCGGCATGGGGCGCCGTGCGCGAGCTGCTGCGCTGAGTCGACGAGGCGCTCTCAACGTACGCCTGCAGCGACTTGGCGCAGGGGCCTTCAAGGTCTTGCGACCCCTTGCGCAGTCGTCCATTCCACGTGCAGCCCGAGCGCGCGGCCTGCACAATACCCATCCCCTTCACTCTCCTCACCATCCACTCCCCGTCTGTCCATCGATTCCCGTACAGCATCCAAGCCCCTTCACCTCACTCCATGTTTCGCCCGTGTGCGCCGCGTCCACAACCCATACAGCTCTAATGCGACTGCCGTGCGTGCAGAACGAGCGTGAGCAGACGGCTGATGTCATTAGCGGAGCGCAGTGGCAGAGTGAAGCAGAGAGCAGGGTGAGGCTGAGCGAGGCGTCTCTCAGGTATACAGAGCGAGTCGAAGGGCTTGAGATGGTCTGAGGCGAGGCGAAGGAGGAGTCTACTGCAGCCAGCGCCGCACAAGCATGCAAGCCAGCAGAAGCACGACGGTAGCGATGGCGCGGTCGAGCTGAGCCACTCGCTGCTCGGCGGCAGGACGAGCGGCGGCTTGTGCAGCATGCGTGGCGGCAGCAGCAGCGGCGGGACGCAACGTGCCCGTCGAGACGCGTGGACCGAGCGCTGGGCGCTGAGGCCGCAGGGTCGCTGCAGCGTGCGGCAGACGAATCGCAGGTTGAGCTGCTGGTGCTCTAGAAGCGGCGGACGACGGCGGTGGCGGCGGTGGGGCATGCGCAGGCAGCCACGAGGGCGTGCTGCGCTCTCGAGGTGCGCTCGATCCCGATGCGCGTGAGGTGGCGGCATCGGCGACGCCAAGTGGTGCTGAAGTGGCCGCCTCTGTCGACGCAGACGGCGCTGGCGCGACTGGTACGCGCGGCGGGACCTGCTCCGTGGGTGGAGCTTTGGCCTCGGCAGACGCAGCCGATGCGCCAGACGCTGCCAGTGCAGCAAGGTTCGCTGCGGGCGGCTCTTCAACCGTCGGCTGTGGCGTAGCGAGAAGTGCGGCTTCCGGAGCCGCAGCCTGAGCGAGGGCCTTGTCCGTTGCTTGAGACACCGGTGTCGGACCCTCTGCAGGTGTACTTGCGTCTGCCACCTCGAGGCCGTGCGGCAGCTGCTCTGCGCCGCGACGTTCGCCGAGCGGCGCAGGCGGCAGGATCTCGTCGTTGCGGCGTGCACATGCCGCACACGTCCAGCCGACACTGCTGCGAGCCATGCGCTCGCGCTCGGTCTGAGAGACGTCCAGTGCGCCCACTCCCTGCGCGGCTTCCCGTCGCGCGGTCATGAAGGCTTGCACGCCAAGCAAGGCTGTGCGGATGCCCCAGGCTGGCTGCCATTGCTCTGCAAAAGATTGTCAGCGCCGCGCATCGCACGAGAGACAGCACAGCACACACCTTCGTGGAAGCCGGTGAAGGTCAGGCAGATCTGTGTCGGGCCCTGCGTCAGTCGCGCAGCCAGAGGTCATGTCGAGCGCGGCACGAAGCGAGCCGGATGGCACCCCGCTCCGCCTCCTCAGTGCTCTGCTAGTGCCGACAGCATCCATCTCCACGCTGCCGAGCACTTCCATCCCATCAAACCCGCGTCACACGTCCCCGCACTCACCTTCTTGCCGCATTCCCATCTGCCATTCGGCGTCAGTAGCATCAGACTCGGCGGTCTGAATGGATACTCCGGCGGCAGCAGGATCCTGCCATGATAGATGCCCGCCTCAAACTCGCTGCCCGGCGCGCCGCGCAGCGTGAAGTGCCACTCGAAGATGTTGTCCTGCGCCGCGATGCGCTGTCAGGACCAAGGCACCGGCAAGCAATGAGGAGCACACACCTCGAGAGGAGCAGCGCAGTACTCGCGCGAGCCATCGGCTTCCAGCTCCCGCGCCTCGCTGAGGATGCGCTTGACGGCGCTCGACTTCTTGTTGCTGCCCGAGAGAAGCATCAGCAGTGTTGGCACGTGGCGAAGACAGATTCACGCACTACGAGGTACTGCTGGCTGACGCCATGGCGGTCAGCAGACGGAAGCGCGAGGAGGCCCTGTGCGGTGGGCTCGACCGAGCCGGGTGGCTCGACTGCTTCGAGTCGCTCGAGTTGCTCGAGTCGTTCGAGTCGTTCGAGTCGCTCGACTGGCTCGACTGGCTCGACTGGCTCGACTGGCTCGAACGCCCCGAACGGGCTGACGATAGATGGCCAAGCTCGGCCGCTGTTTGAGAACAAGCGGTTGGACTCGTGCAAGCGAAGAAGAGGAGGAAGAGAGGAGGGTGCCCGTGGTGGTGGTGCAGAGCAGCGCCTGCCCGATCGTGGAGCTACGTGGAGGCATCATGCATGGGCCGCGCCGTGCCACGTCACGTGCGGCAAGCCCCTGCCTCACACCCGCTCCTGCCAACACAGGGCAGCCGGTGTCTCGTCTTCGCGCCAGCTCGCACTCGCTTGCTTCTCACATCACAACTGGCTTCACGAGACACAGGACGGGGCAAGTTTATATCAAATCACAGGTGGGCGAGGCTACAGGCGCGAGCTTCCGCTGCGGACAGAAGGAGCGGCGGGTCAGACGCGGTCCGACGGCGCGCACTGGCGGGCGAGCTCCGCAGTACGCACCATGGCGAAGATGCAAGGGAGCTGCTTACGCGCTGTCCTTCGAGGCGGCGTAGGCGAGCAGGTCGAGCACGCGGTTCGAGTAGCCGGTCTCGTTGTCGTACCACGAGCTGCAGGTGGGGTGAGCGACGGGCCGTGCAGGGATAGAGCCGAAACATGACTTACACAAGCTTGACGAACGTGGGGCTCAGCGCAATGCCGGCCTGGGCGTCGAAGACGCTCGAGTACGTCGAGCCGTTGAAGTCGGTCGACACAACCTGGTCCTCCGTGTAGCCGAGGATGCCCTTGAGCTCGTTCTCCGAGGCGCGCTTGATCTCGGCCTTGATCTCGTCGTAGCTGGCGCCCTTCTCGAGGCGGGCGGTCAGGTCAACGACCGAGACGTTGGTCGTGGCGACGCGGAAGGCCATGCCGGTCAGCTTGCCGTCGAGCGACGGGATGACCTTGCCCACAGCCTTGGCGGCACCCGTCGACGAGGGGATGATGTTCGTCGAGGCGCTGCGGCCGCCGCGCCAGTCCTTGCCGGACGGGCCGTCGACGGTCTTCTGCGTGGCCGTGGTGGCGTGCACCGTGGTCATGAGGGCTGCACAGAATGGGTCAGTGCGCGGTGGTGGAGTGCCTTGCGCGCGCGTGTGGCTCACCCTCGATGATGCCGAACTTGTCGTGGATGACCTTGGCGAGCGGGGCCAGGCACTGCAAAGCGCGCATCAGCACAGCACATCACCCTTGCGCGCGCGCGCGCAGACTCACGTTGGTGGTGCACGAGGCGTTGGAGAAGACCTCGACCTTGGGGTCGTAGCTCTCGAGGTTCACGCCGCACACGTACATGGGCGCGTCGGCCGAGGGCGCCGAGATGACGACCTTCTTGGCGCCGCCCTTGATGTGGGCGCTGGCCTTCTCCGTGGTGGTGAAGACGCCGGTGCTCTCGACGACGTAGTGCGCGCCGGCCTTGCCCCACGGGATGTTGCTCGGGTCGCGCTCGGCGAAGACGGCGATGCTCTTGCCGTTGACGACGAGCTTGCCGTCCTTGTGCGAGACCTCACCCTGGAACGGGCCGTGCGTGGAGTCGTCTGTATGCACAGTGAGTGTGAGCATCGGTAGAGCTTGCAGCGCGCGCGGCTAGGCGCACTGCCGCACGAGGCATCGCCGCGGCCACTCACACTTGAGCATGTAGACCATGTACTCGAGGTCGATGAAGGGGTCGTTGATGGCGACGACGTCGGCCTTGCCGTGCTGGATCGAGGCACGGAAGACGATGCGGCCAATGCGGCCGAAGCTGCGCGAAGAGGGCGTGAGTGGAGGCCGGCGATGGAAGGCGCGCAGGTGCAGCCGCAGCACTGCACGCAGGCGGCACTCACCCGTTGATGCCAACCTGGACGGGAGCCATTGTGATGTGCGGTGTGGGGTGTGGTGGGTGGTGGGAGCTGCTGTGGTGGTGGAGCAGAGGCAGGAGTGAGCAACGGTGCGCCGAGCGAGAGATGCGCGAAGCCGGCCGCGGCGCTGCGATACGCCATGGAACGAGCAGGAACGGCCGCGCTGGCGGCACGCACACGGGCGAAGTGCCTCGGCAGCCGCCGCCGCGCGCGCCACACGCTGCTGGCCGGCCGCACCGCGCGCGCGCACGCGCCAGCAGAGATGAGATCGTGCCTCGACCCGCAAGCGCTGCGCCTTCTACCACGCCCAGAGCAGGTCTGCCCCGATCGTAGCAGCAGCAGCTGCCGACTCTTCGCTGCGCTGTGCCATGTTCACCTCGATGGCAGCAGCGAGCGTTGAGCACGAGGCTGATGCGACCTCGGCGCGCCAGATGGGAGACCGTGCGCGGCGGGCGCGAAGGTCGCCTCGGCCGAGAAGGCGCCGCGCCGGCTCGAGTTGTTGGGGCCGGCGGAACTCTGCGGCGGCGTCCACTCGTCGCTGCGACGCCAAGGGAGGCCAGGCTGCGGCACACTCACCTAGATACGAGAAAGGATGCAGAGGTGGGCGTGCTGCACCGCGCTGAGGCGTGCCTCTTATGGCGATCGAGGCACGGCGAGCGGGGGGCAGCATGCACGACCCTGGCGGGCGTGGAGGCGCGGGCGGGCGGCATGGCGCCAGTGTGCCGCGCGCACCCGCGCCCCGCCGACGCGCGGGTGCGCCCAGCTCGCCGCATCCCGAGCCCACCCGCACGCCGCCGGTCCGGGGCTCCGTCGTGCGGAGCTGCTGCTCTGCGCTGCGCGCTGGAGAACATCTGCATGCACACCCGCCGGCACCGCATTCAGCCGCACGGCGGGGCCCAAGCGGCGCCACAAGCGGCGCAAGCGGGCGGCGCTGCGAAGAAACGCTGGGGCGCGAGGCGCGCATCACGTGCCGCGCGCGCCTTGCGAAGGGCGTCGCCGCGCGGCCCGCGACGCGCCGCTCGGCCGACGAGCGCCGCCGCGGCCGCTCTCTCTGCGCGGCGCTCGCTTTTCTGCGCTTAGCCGAGGCGGAGCGACGCCATAAGACGGCTCAGCGCCGCGCCCGGCCTCGCCTCTCACCACCTCCACCGCAAGTCTCGCTCTCTCTCGCGTGAGTATGCCGCTCCTGACCCGGCGCGCGCGGCCCAGACGATGAGGCTCTACTCCTTTCCCCGTCCTACACGACCATGCCGAGACGACAAGGAACCGTTCGATCGCTGTCGAACACTATATCTGTCTTTTGTGCATGCCAGCACATCTTTGCCTGATGGATCACGCGCGCGCCAGCCGTTTGCCCTCTGCCGACGCTCGACGCTGTGCTGACGCTTTTGCCTCGCACGCAGTCTCCTCTCCGGCCCGCTCCTCCCATCTGCATCGTGAGTTTCGCTCGTCTCGCTTCTCGACTCTCGCACGCAAGCGTCTCCGGAGATGATACTCTTGGTATCCAACCAAACTTCGCAGTTTCCACTCTAGGGTCCTCGCATCCCCTCGGGGGTGGGGCTCTCGTGCTCCCTTCGCGCAAGAGGCACGCCCGGATGCCGCAGTCCACATGCCCTCGGGCGTGGGCGCCGTGGCTCGAACCCTCCGCAAGGAGTGCTGCGGCGCCAGTGGCTGCGGGTACCACCTGTGCCGTTTGCATTGCGCGCAAGGTCGTAGCCGCCCTGACCTGATGAGGGCCTACACGACCTTCCTTGGAAGTCTGAGGTTTCGCTGTGCGCACGCCGAGTCGCAGCTGTGGTCCCTGCCCGTCGCCAAGAGCTGTGCGCTGACCTCTGCCTTCGCCTTGCCTCTTCGCGTCCTGCTCCACGCTAGTCCATTCTCCTGTATACCACTCGCATCAAACCACCGCTCGAACACCCCGACGGTGCGTAATACCAGTCTCTTTGCCACTTCTCGCTGTGTGTTGCGTGCGCCTGGCCGCTGGGCTCGATGATGATCAGCCGCACCTCCACGAGGGGTGCGGCGCACCACTATATGCCTAGGAAGAGCCGTCGCGAGCTGCGCCGCGGTCTGTGTGCCCTCTGCCGTCTCTTCGGAGGATCATCTCTGCGATCTCTGCACTCGCATCGTGCTCGACGTCTCGCACGCCTGCTTCGAGCGCCGACGATGCGTCGGGCGACGGCCGCTGTTGAGTTCTTCGGGACTCCGGCGGCTGTTGCCCTGCTGCGTCGGAGGTGCCAGGAGCATATAGGGCTGTGGGAAGCTGAGCACGGCGTTTGAGAGCGAGCATCTGGGGACTGATGGGTGGTCTGGGTGCCGCGCGGCGCCGAGGACGAGAAGATGTTTGGTTTCTGAAGCTTTGCAGGCCAGGGCGCGTCGCACGCACACAGCAAGAGAGAGCAGTGCTCGTCGTCATGTGCGCAAGCGCTGACTCCATGCGCTTGACAGATGGCTAGCAGCATGATGCGCCTCGGCCTGCGCGGCGCACGCCTTGCCTCGACCTCAGCCTCGACCTCCGCCTCTGCCGCCTCGGCGTCGACGTCAGCAGCGCAGCAGTACGGTCCGGGACCCGGCGCGACGACGCACTACCGCATCACGCTCCGCCGCTCCGCCATCGGTCTGCCTGCCAAGACTGGCCGCGTCCTCGAGTCTCTCGGCCTCACCCGTCGTCTGCAGAGCGTGATCCGACCTCAGCGCGCCGACATGGCGGGCGCGATCCTGGCGGTCAAGGAGCTGGTGCACGTCGACACCGTGCGGCGACTGGATGCGCCGACGCAGGAGCACTACGCGCTCATCGAGATGGGCGCAAGCCCGAATGCCGTGCTGGACCTGGACGCGGTCTGGGTCGATGAGAAGGGAGAGGTCGTCTCGTGGGGTGCGGCTGCGCGCAAGGCGCCGAGGGGGTACCGCGTGACGGGAAACCTTGTGTCGCCCGAGAGGGACGCTGAGGTGAAGCTGCGAAGGGAGAGCGAGGAGTAAGAGCGAAGCCTCAGATGCAATGTATTTCTAGCGCCGCACGATTCTTGCGTGAGGCAGCGAGAGCGAAGGGGCGAGGACACTAGACTGGGCGAGACCTGCGCAGGCAACAGGCTCTCACTTGTGCGCAAAGGCACGAGCAGTTCGCGCATCCCATCAGCCAGATGAAGGGGCGGGGCCGACGAAATAAGCCATTAGCAGAGCATTTGAGCACAACGGGTCTCTATAAGTACACGGATGGGCTGGGTATCGAGGGAGAGGCGGAAGAAAGGGAGGGAACGGTGCGGACGGACCAGTTGGCATTTCTCTCGCGACGGGCCGATCTGGACTAGCTCTCGCTCGTCTGGCCCTCGGCGTCAAAGTCCGCTCTCCATCGTTTGAGATCCTCGAGCAGCCGGTTCATCGCGAGCGGCTTCGTCAGCCACTCGTCCATGCCGCACTCCTCCAGGCCCTTTGTTCTTGACAGCTCGTCGCTGAGCGCCGTGACCGCAATGATCTTTGGTCTTCTCGGTCCTTGAAGCGGGAGCGCTCGCATGGCCTGACACGCCTCGAAGCCCGACATGACGGGCATCATAATGTCGAGCAGCGTCACGTACGGCGAGTGCTTTGCAAACTGCTCCACTGCCTCTTGCCCGTTTGTGGCGACGCAGAACTCGATGCCTTGCTTCTTCATCAAGCGCGTGAGGATGCGAGCGTTGAGCGGATTGTCCTCGACTACGAGCGCGCCGAACTTGGACACCGTGATGGGCTTGACCGAGGGACTGCTGGGGGCTTCTTGACGCATTTTGCCGGCTAGTGGCGCTAGCATAGGCACGCTGTCAACTGGTGCACGCAGCACCTCGTCGATCGATTCGGGGGCGAAGACAAGGTCGCGTGTGTCTTTCGCCTGCTCCTCGGCGGCGCTCGGCACCTTGTCGACCGAGTCTGCATCCCCATCCGCCTCAGATGGCGGCGACTCTGCGATCTTGGGCTCGTTCGACTCGCTGGACATGCGGTGCGTCTGCTCGAAGCTGTCCCGTCCCGAATCGGTGCGGCGTAGCTTGGTGGCTTGCGCGTCCGTCTCGGGTTTCCGTGCCAGCTGGAGGAGGCCGTGAAAGCTCTTGGGACCGAAGGGCTTGCGTGTGACGAAGGCAGGCTGCCGAGAACCATTCTTGAATGCCGCGAGCTCGACGCCCGAGTCAGCATGTGCCTGAAGGACGCCAATCTTTACGCCGTCCTTGGCATGCCTGTGCACGACGAGTCAGGCGTGCGACGGGCGGTGGAAGAGGTGACGAAAGACTCACGAGAGGATGCCCTCGATCCCACCTGTAGCTTCCCAGCAAGCTTCCTCCGGAATGAGCAGATAGTCTGCCTCTCCCAGATTCGTCGTGGCGTACATGTCGCCAAACGCTGCGGCCCCAAGTCAGCGGTATGCAGAGCCTCGAACGTCCGGCGATACTCACTGGCGAGTTGAGCACTGATAGCGCCGGCAAGGCGCTTCAGCCCGATGCCCTCAAAGCCATACATGTAGGTGAGCTGCGCGGGACGACTCGAGACGCTCTGCTGCGGCACGCGCGGCAGCTCGGCGACAGGAATCAAGAGCGTGACGATCGTGCCTCGCCCCACATCGCTGGAGACTTGCATAGATCCGCCCTGCAATGCTTGTCAGAGTCGGCAGGATACAAGCTGCCCTGCGCGGCACTCACCATGCGCTTGCAAAGCGAAGCGCAAAGGGCCATGCCCAGTCCCGCGCCCGACTTGAACTTGTCCGCCTTCATGAAAGGCTTGAACAGCGCCTCTGCCACAAACTCGTCCGTCATGCCTTCGCCGGTGTCCTCCACTGTCAACTGCAGCGATGACCGCCCCTCCTCAGTGTGCGGAGCAAGCGAGATCTCGACGTAGCCTTCGCCTTGAGTGAAGCGCAGGGCGTTCTGTAAAGCGAGTGTGAGGGGCCGGGAGGTGAGAGAGGGGACAGCCGACATACGGAGATGAGCTTCCGAGCACACTTGCGGAACGTCTCGACTGCGATCATGGACGTCGTCCCTCTGAGGCTCGTGTCGATCTCTATCGCCGTCCGTCAGCTTCAGCAGTCATCCCTGGGCGCCCTCACGTGCATTCCACTCACGCAAGATCAACTCGGGCGGCGGCGGTATTCTGGCATCCGCGCCCTCCTGCGTGCGGATGCGCTGCACTTGCTCATTCCACAGCTCCGACGCAACGTCGTCCAGCAGTGCTCCGAGATCCACAGACTCGGCCCGCACGATTTCGTGCCGCGTCTCTTCCTCGCGAGCGGCTGTTGTGATCGATGCCTGATGCCTCTCGTCAGCAACGAGCCGCTTCTGCATCGTCTACTTGCACCCACAAAGTCGGCAAAGTCCTCAAGCAGGTCGTTCAGGCCATCGCCGAGCGACTTGATGCTGCTCGCTTGCTCCACCAGCGCCTGCTTCTGCTGCATGTCTGCAATCGCGGCTGCGCGCAGATCGGAACGGAGCGAGTCGGCCAGCAGCAGCTGAGCGGAGGTTGAGCGTGCAGGCAAGAGAGAAGAAGAGGTCAAGGAGACTTACCATGCCTGTCAGGCGGAGGAACGAGGGACCCGGACGTCAGCAAGAGCTCGCTTCGTGCACCTCCACCCACGCTCGCTCCCGCCTCGTGCCATTCTCGGCGAGTTCGCCTCCACCAGCCACTCCACACTGCCCGCTCGCTTCCACTCACCATGCAGCGGCGTGCGCAGCTCGTGCTGCACGCTGCCCACCAGCTCCACGAGCGCCGAGTCGACGGCGGGGCGCGGCGTGCCGGCACTGACGCTCGCACAGGCCGACGAGCCGGAGCGCCGCGCGCCCGGGTGCGCCAGCGGCGGCGAGGGCGCGAGCAGGCCGCTGGACTGCGGCGACGAGGGCGTGGACATGCCGCGCGGGGCCGGCGCGTGCGACATGCTGGACGCTGGCACGCGGTGCGGAGCGAGAAGGACGAGGGCGAGCGCGCAGACCGGCGGGTAAGGCTAGCAGAGCAGCGCGGTGCACGACATGCACTTGTGGGCAGCAAGGTGGCAGGAGAGGCGGCGGCGGCGTGGATGTGGAGCGGAGGAGAGCAAGAACGAGTACATGGTGCGGATTGCCGGTGTGAGAGCGGCGCAGCGCGCGCGGCTGACTAAGCAGGCCGCCGCACCGATGTCCCCCCGCTGCTCCACTCGCCGCGGCCGCCGTGCCTCCCGCCTCGACCACCGCCGCACCCGCTCCGCCATCCGCCATGGACGGCTCCACCGCATCGTCGTCGTCGGCGCTGTACGTGCCCGCGCCGCTGCCGCCCGCCGAGGTGCTGCCGTCTGTAGCGCTCAACGGCGCCGCCGACCTGCTGCCGCGCTTCGGCCTGCTGCCTCTCTACGAGCGCGCCGTGCGCCCGTATCTGCCGCGCCGCCGTGCGCCGCCGGGCGCCGACGGGGCCAGTGCGCAGCAGGCGCACGCCGATGACGCGGCCGGCGACGAGACACTGCCGCTCGACGGCGACGAGCGGCGCGCCGACGGCGAGCCGCCGGTGCGTCTGCTGCCCAAGACGTACGCGCACTACGTCGAGGACCTGCCCGGTGCGTGCAGCGTGCGGCCTGGAGAGGTTGTGTGCCCGGCAGGTGCTGCTGCACGCCCAGCGCTGACGCCTCGGTCGCAGGCAAGGTGCGCCCGCCAAAGTCGAAGCGCACGCAGCGCGCGCCGCCGACGGGCACGACGATGCGCGACATCGTCTTCCGGCCCGAGACGACGCTGCAGCGCATCGTGCCTTTCGACGACGAGGCGCTGCGCGCCGCCTTTGCCGTGCGCGCCGGCGACGTGCCCGAGATCGACGCCTCGCTGCTCGAGGCCGATGCCGAGGACGCGGGCAACCGGCGCCGGAAGAAGGTGAGGCCGAGGAGTGCGCAGAGGGTGGGCCATGAGCTGACCGGCGCGCTCGTTGGCAGCCAAAGCGCAAGCGTGGCGACATGGGTGAGTTGCGCGAGCTCGCGTGTAGGAGGCGCCGCTGAGTACGCACTGCGCAGGCAATACCAGCATCGACGGGCCGCGCAAGGGCGGCCCAGGCCCGGGCGGAGCGCGGCGATGAGCCCGCTGCCTCGCTCGAGCCCCTGCACATCACTCTTCTCGTCATCTGTACAACACTTCATGCTCCGCAATCCAGCTCTCACGGTGAATGCGGTGGATTACCAGGAGATCATGAGTGGTGGTGAGACAGCCGGCAACGTGGCGCCAGGCGTGCTACTTTTGGCGCTGCGCGCTCTATCGATCGCAATCCAGCAACGCAAGGCCCGCATAGCCCCTCATGACCGCTTGGCGCGGCTGCTCTGCCTCCGCAGGCGCGCCGCACGCACCTTCTCCTCGCGCTCCATGATGCGCCGGTCCGCCCGGTCGTCGGCGCTCTCGCCTGGCCGCGCAGCCGATGTGTCCTCGAACGCGCGCTGCCCGGCGACGAGCCGCTCGAGCGCCGCACTGCGCGCCTCCTCCGTCTGCATCGGCGCACGCCGCAGCGAGCCGGGCGCCGTGGCCGTCTTGCGCGCCGCCTCGGCCTGCGCCTTGGCGAGGTTGTCGCGGAACGACTGGAACACGCCCACGACCTTGACTGGCGGCTTGCCGGCGTTGTGGTCGACGCGGTCGGGAATGTCGAACCGGTTGCGGAAGAACTGCGAGCGGAGGAGCTGCAGCTGCAGCAGCGAGAGGACGTTGTTCGTCGTCCAGTACACGAAGCAGGCCTGCGGGCGGGCACGTCAGCGCTGCATCGAGAACACGCGTGCGGCCGGGCACACTGCACACCACTCACCGCTGGCAGATACGAGATGAAGGGGATCATGCCGATCGTCGCCACGCGCATCACAACCTTGACGGTGTGTGCCGTCTGGTCGCCGCCGCCCGCGGCGCCGCCCTGCTCGGCGCCCGTCTGCACGACGAGCAGCGTCGCGGCGGCGCTGACCACCGGCAGCGCCCAGTACGGGTCCGCGGCGGTGAGGTCGGTGAACCACCAGAGGCCGCCGGTCGTCATCTCGGTGAGCTTGCCCTCGCCGAGGCCCTTGAGCGCAAAGAAGAAGGTGATGAAGAGCGGCATCTGCACGAAGGGCGCGATGAAGCCCTTGAGCGGGTGGCAGTCGTGGTCGCGGAAGAGCTGCTGCACGCGCTGCGACGAGGCGGCCATGAGCTGCATGTCGTTGGTCGACTTTGCCGCCTTGATGTCCTCCATGCACAGCTTCACCTCGGGGTTGATGTTGGCGAGGCGGATGCCGTTGCGCTGGCCCTTGATCGTGATCGGCAGCAGCGCAAGGCGCATGCCCACGGTCGCCACTGCGATCGTGGCCCACCACGGCAGGCCGGAGTAGTGGTGCACCGTGTCGAGCAGGCCCTGCGCCGTCGACACGAGCCACCAGTGGTTCGCCTGCAGCGACGCCAGGTCGACGGACGTCGCGGCGAGCGCGTCGGAGAGCTGCTGCGCCGAGTCGGGCGACACGGCCGACACGGCATCGACGAGCGGCGAGGCGCTCTCGCTGGCTGGCGGCGCCGAGGCGAGCGGCGTGCCGGCAGCCGAGGCATTGACGGTATCCAGCGGCGCCGCGGCGGCGGCGGCAACGTCATCTGCGGCGGCGGGCTCGACCTGCTGCTGCGGCGGCGCAGCGGCTGGCGCACTGCTGCCCCAGAACGAGATGTGGCGTGCTGAGCCAGCCGGGCGGCTGGCGAGCAGCGCGGCCGCCAGCGCCGGGCGGGCGGGCGCGTGCAGGCGCGACGCAGCGGGGCGGCGCAGCGCCAGCGACGAGAGGCTGCGCGGCGCGGCGCTCGAGGGCCCGGCGCAGCGCAGCGGTGCCGCCGGGAGCGCGCGGGAGAGCAGGCGGCCGGACATGTGCGGGCCAGCGAGAAAGTGCGGGGGTGGGGAGGGAGGAGGAGGAGGAAGCGAAGCGCGCCTCGAGCCTCGGCCTTACCGCACTTTCCGCACCACGCGCGCACGTGACGGCGACGCCGGCCGTCGCCTCCACTCCGGCCTCTCCGCCCTGCCTCGCTCTGCTTCACTCCGCCATGGGCACACAAAGCAGGCGGGTATCGACATCAATATCTCGGACTTAGTCTAGAAAGCGCGTGGGACGATCCGGCGCCATCGGCTGGATCTCGTCGTCGTACACGATCAGTGGCTGCGTCCTGCAATGGCTACGCGTGAGCATCAGCGTGGTCAGGCTTGCTCAACCCTGCTCACTGCACACGTCGCGGCTGAAGAGGGCGGAACGGTCAGCTGAAGTCCCGGTGTCTCGCAAGAGGAGACACGGCACGCACGTTCTCTGTCAGTGGCTGAGAGGTCGCCTTGGGTGTCAGTGGTCTTTCGGCGACTTGGCACGCCGCACTTACGAAGCCTTGCGGCATGTAGAAGGCTGAGTACGCGATCCATGGCCGCTCGTCGGGCCCGTTGTACACGCATGCCGAGCCGGGGCCGTAGACACCGTTGCCCGAGCGCAGAAAGGTGACGTTTGCCGAGTTGCGCCTGGCAGGAGCGTCAGGACGTGGGGTCTCGGACCTGCGTGCCTCAGCAGCCACGTACCAAGAGGCGGGGTCAAGCGGATCATCGTCGACGGAGATGGCGCGGTTGATCTGCGAGGCGCAACTGTAAGTGTCCGGAAGATCGAGCCGCCCAATGATGCTCACAGTGTTGTAGTCAGGTTGTGCAAAGACGTTCTCGCTCCAGCTGGATATACATCAGCTATTTGCTGCACATGCCCCTCGGTGCCACGCACATAATGTTGAGCTTCTGGCCCGAGACGAAGCTACCCGGTGCCTCGATCGTGCGTTCGCCATCGCCCGACGCCCACACCGTCGCCCGCCCGACCGTCGTGGGCGAGGTGAGCTCGGCAATCCTGGCGTCCGGTCAGCAGCATCTACATGGCCAGTCCACGCAGCGACTCACTCGACTGAGCGCAATGCGCTATAGGTGCTGTCCAGACGAAGTCAGCTCTGCTCGGCAGTGACACTGGCGCACTGTCGCGCTCACAAGTAGCGCTTGCCGTTCGGATGCCGGAAGGCATGCCCGTCGTAGTTTGTTAGCCGGTCGCCGTTGGCATGGCGCATCTCGCCCAGATCCTCCCAGTCGCCCCACAGGTCGTCGCTCTTTGCCTGCAGCACGCGCATCGAGCCGTTGCCCTCGGCACCGACGGACGAGACGTAGATGAGCCAGCGGCCCTCGCTCCACTCGAACAGCGACGGCGCCTCGGTGCCGACGGCCTTGTCGTACTCGAACTGCGCGTGGTGTGAGCCAACGGCATGGCCATTGTCAGCTCCTCTTCACCCACAATCTGCTTCTCGCTTGATGGATCGGCAAAGATGGAGTTGAGGTCCTGGCTCTTGAGCATGTAGATGCCGCGGGCAAAGTCGTTGGTCACAAAGTAGTACGTCAGGTTCCCCTCGGCACGCCGGCCGCTCGCATCCGGCTCGAGGCGCGACACGGCGTCCGGGTCCTGTCCTGGCCCAAGGCCATTCTCGATGCCAGCCATGTCGGGCGGTCCGAAGCCGAGCGACTCGAGTGCTGTGGCGGCCTGGGAGATGCCGGCGATGAGCGAGTTCATCGGTGCGCCCAGCAGCGCCGCGATGTTGTCGGCCAGTGCGCGCTCGGCAAAGGGCGGCGTCGTGTCAAGGCTGCGATCGCGCGACTCGAAGGTGCGACGATGCGGCGATGGGATACGATGCCGCGCAAAGGCGACCTGCGCGATGAACAGCAGGAGCAGGCAGGAGCGCATGGCGAGAGAGGGGCGTGGTGGGGCGCACACACGAGCCTCCGACGCAGCACGAGGGTATATGAGCGCGGAGTCGTTTCCACGGCAACATCCAGCGTGAGGACCCTGGCTGAGATTCCGGAGGCGCTAGCCGGGGTCAATAGAGGTGCTGTGAGATGCAAGTCGCAGCGCATCGGCGCCCCTTGAGCGGGGCACGGCAGCGTCGGAGGCTAGCGGCGCCGGCGCTCGCGACACGCGCGCTGCCTCACCGCGCGCCGCACAAGCGCGCTACTCGCTGGGCTCCTTCGCCCTCTGACAGGCGTCAGAGCTGAAACGCAGCACAGCACAGCCGCTCGATCAGGCTTGCTCAAGGCTTGCTCGGGTCAGGGTGCGACTCCTGCGGACGATGGGCGGCCAGGTGGGCCGGCGTCGCTGCCGGCTGTGTCCCGACTGCCGAGGTGCGGCGGTGTCAGCTGTGCTGCTGCCGCTGCGCGCCTCCACACGCCGCGCTGCTCGGCGCCCTTCTTGCTTCTTGCCTCCTCACTCCCTGCTCCCTGCCAGGCCAACGCGCACGATGGCCGCCTCCTCTGCCGCCGCAGCACATGCCGAGGTGCCCTTGCCCTTGCCCGAGCTCTCCGACCCGGCGCGCTGGCTGCGCCGCCTGCTCTTTCTCGGCACGGGCACGTCGGGCCAGGTGCCCACGGCGCTCTGCACGCTGCCGCCCGCGCCCGGCAGTGGCGCACGCCCGGCGCCGGCGTGTGCCACGTGCAGCGACGCCATGCAGCCTGGTAGCAAGAACCGCAGAGGGTGCTGCAGCGTGGCGGTCGTGGGCAGGGGCAAGGGCGAGGCAGAGGAGAGGTGCGTGCAGAGCACGGGACGAGTGGCAGAGGGTGGGCGCGATGTGGCTTGCGCTGGCCACGGCAGCCGATCAGCTGGCAGCAGCAATGGGCGGGTGGATCGGCTGCCGCAGACGCTGTGCTGACAAGCGGCTCACTAACCTTCCTTGCCGCAGCCTCATCCTCATCGACTGCGGCCCGACGTTCTACGGCACCGCCACGCTCGCCGCCTTTGCCGCCAACGGACTGCGGCGCATCACGGCGCTGCTGCTGACGCATGCGCACGCCGACGCCATCCTCGGCCTCGACTCGCTGCGCGCGTGGACGATGGGCGGCGCCATCCAGCAGCAGGTCGACGTGTACTGCACGCAGGCGTGCTACGCTGGCGTCGCCGCCATGTTCCCCTACCTCGTCGACCGCGGCAAGGCCACGGGCAGCGGCAGCGTCGGGGCGCTGCGCTTCCACATCATCGACGAGCGGCCATTCGCCATCGAGGCGCTCGACGGCGGCACGCTGCGCGACGGCGACGGCAAGGAGCTGCTCGTCACGCCGCTGCCCGTGCAGCACGGCTTCGACGGCGCGCAGCCCTTCCCGGCGCTCGGCTTCCGGATAGGCTCGCTCAGCTACCTCTCCGACCTGCACCACGCGCCGGCGAGCACAGCGGCGCTTATGCGCGGCTCGCAGCTGCTCGTCCTCGACGCACTCTCGCCCTACCGGCATCCCTCGCACTTCTCCCTCTCGCAGGCCTGCTCCATGGCGCTTTCGCTGCCGGGCGCGCCAGAAGAGCAGCCGCGGTTGGCCCTGCTCACGGACCTCACGCACCGCCTTAACCACCAGCACACGGATGCCGGACTGCAGCGCTTCACGCGCGACCTGCGAGCATGGCGGATAGCGCGTGGCCCAACAGAGGACGAGGCACAGAAGTCGCCGCCGCGCAAGAACGGCAAGCGCCACTCGCGCGGCGAGGGCGGCGAGCCGCGCTGGTGGGCGGGCGCCTGGGACGAGCGCGCCAGCGAGGGCCGCAAGGACGGCCTGCCGTGTCTCGAGCCGGCGGCGGCCACACTCGTGGCGCAGCAGGACGCCGAGCTCAACGGCGCCATGGCCGGCCTGATGGCGCAGCAGCGCGGCGTGCCAGACATACGCGTCGCATGGGACGGGCTGGTGGTGCCGTTCGACGGCGAATGAGTCTCCGGGGCTGCGGACTTGCTTCTGCGTTATTGTATAGACTGATGGACGCGCTTTGAGTGTGAAGAGGGCGCAAGGAGTGACCTCGTGGCTGAGCTACATCGTGCTGCGCAGGCTCAAGGGGCATCGAAGTCGATGGCCTCGAGCAAGGCTGCTCCAGACAGTCTGCGCAAGATTACCGCGCTGCCACGCACTCACGTCGTCGCTGCCGCTGCTGCCATTGCCTCATGTCCTGCCACTCACACTGCTCTCGGGCTGGCTCTGCGCGGCCCTGAGCCACCTCGTGCTCGTCGGCGACGCCCTGTCGCAGCCACTCTCCAGCGCACTGCCAAGCGTCGCCGCGTTGCGCTGGCCCTGTGGACCAGCTGCGCAACATCGCACCACCAAGCTTCGACTGCTGATCCGAGCTGCTCGCGTGGCTCTGCAGACGGGCGCACTCGTGCTGGTCTAAGATATCCAATGCGAGTCACTGAGCAGCGGCGGGTCAGCCCAGTGACAGGACGAAGAGAGAGTGCACCGGCCGTAGCATCCGTTCCACCCAGCCCGGCCACCGCCCACTCACCACGACAAATACACGGCGCCCCACGCTAGGCCTCGACGCCGGGGAAGCACTGGGCAAAGGGCAGCTTGTCGTGCTTGGCCTCGTGGTGCAGCTTGAGCTGGTGCACCTGGCGCTTCTCGAGCATGGCCTTGCACGACGTGCACTGGATCTGCTCCTTGGGCGCCTTGAGCGGCACGCTGCGAAAGGAGCGTCAGTAGCAGGTCGCCAGCAGCGGGTGTCGTGTGCACCGCGCTGCGCCCCACATCGTCCCGCCCGACTCACCCGCCCTTGGTGGTGGGGACGCGAGTGCCCTCGAGGTCTGCCTTCTTCTGCGCGCGGCGCTTGAGGTCGGTCTTGCTGGGTGCCATGGCGGAGCGTGGGATGTGGGTGTGGGAAGGCGAGGAGCAAGGCGCGAGCGGCTCGGCTCGGCAGCGGCAAAAACTCTCGCGCGAGACGCGCGCGCCCTCGAGATTCCCACGCCGTCCCGCTGCACGTGCAGCGCCCAGCCCAATGCCGGGCCGGGCCACATCTGGCCCATCCGCAGCTGCGAGGGCCATGCTGGATGCTGCGCGATGTGAGTAAGGGGGCTGCTGAGGGACGCATGGCATGGCGCTGCTGTGCGGCGGCGGGTGCGGCGTGCGGTGTGCGGCAACGGCCCGCCGCGCTGCTGCGTGCTGCCCACGCGGTGCTGCTCCTGACGCGCGCCGTGCCGTGTTCGCGGTGCGGCCCCCGAGGCCAAGAGCCATATCGCGCTCCGCCGCTCTCGCTCCCACTCCCATCGTCACTCATCCCGCTCTTCCTGTCTCGTAGGCCCATTCCCAGCTCGGCACCGCTGCCGCCCGCATCGTATCCGCCGTCCGTCTTCCCGTCCGTCCCGCCGCTCTGCTATTCCCGCCTCTGCCCTGCGATACCTCACGAACCCGCTGCGCCTCGCCCTGCATCCGCCCGCTGGCGACCTCCGCGCGCCCGCGCCCTCTGCCGCGCCACGCCCACCATGTGCTGCCCGCGCACCGCAGTCTGAGCCACGCCCAGCCCGCTGCCGCCCGCCCGCGCCGCCGCCGCCATGTCGGCGCCGTCTGCCGCGCCCGACGTCGAGACGACCAACTGGAACGCCGTCAAGCTGCTCGCCGCCAAGCACGGCATCCACCTGCGGCCCTACGAGGAGCCGGCGAGCAGCACAGAGGCACATGATGGCGCCGTGACTGCTCATGATGCCGCCGAGGAGCAGGACCTCGGCGCCGGCACGCCGTTCCGCATCACCGCCAAGCGCCTCGAGGGCGGCCGCATCATCTACCGCTTCAAGTACCGCGGCGACGCGCCGGCGGCCGCGCCCGCGCCCGCCGCGGCCATGCCCAAGTCGCACTCCGAGACGGCCGGTCTCGCCAGCCTGGCGCAGCGCGGGCCCGAGGGCGCCGACGCGGCCGACGCCAAGCCGCGCAAGAACCTCAAGGGCAGCCGCAGCATCCCGACGCTGCGCGCACTGCACCTGCTGGCTGCCGGCGCGGGCGCGTCGCGCACGCCAGACATGCGCAGCACGCGCGTGGAGGAGGAGGAGCGCGAGGCTGGCTCGCAGGCGTCTGCGCCGGATGCTGCAGAGAGCGGCAACGCCGACGCCCGGCGAGAGGCGCCACGCGCTCCCGGCCGCACGCCGCTGCTGCCCGTCTCGCGCGGCATCAGCGACTCGCCCATCGAGCTGCGCGCTCCGCCGCGCCGCGACGGCCGGCTGCAGGGCGGCGACGTGCTGGGTGCGATCCTCGGTCTGCGCGAGGGCATCGTGGACGCGCGCAGTCCGCGCAGCGGCACGTCGCATTCGCGAGCCAGCTCGGACTCGGGCGCCGCGTCGATGCCGTCGACGCGTCTGGCAGCCACGCCCTTTGGGCAGCACCTCGGCATCAATGGCGCGCCTGCGACGCCCAACGAGTTTGTCAGGTCGCCCATCCCGCGCATGCTCGAGCTCGGCGAGCCGCTGTTCGACGACATGCCGGCCTTCTCGCCGTCGAGCCGGTCGCCGCAGCACAGCCAGGGCAGCTCGCCGCGGCGACGACGCCAGCAGGAAGGCGACTCGTTCAGCTCGAGCATCCGCGAGCGCGTGCTGCGCGAGGCGCAGAGCTTCGAGAGCACCGACTCGGCCGCCACAGCGCGGGCAAGCGACGAGCATGTGCGCCCCGGCGCACTGTCGTCAGGCGGAAAATCTCGTGCCTGGGGCCCGCTTGACGACGACGAGCACGCCTTTGCGCGCTCCTCCGACCCCGAGACGCTCATCTTCGATGTGCTGCAGCACTACGCGCTCAGCAACGACGCACAAGGCTCCGCGAGCAGCTCTAACCGCTCGAGCCTGACGCCGTCCGTCGGTTCGGGCTCCTCGGGCCCCTCCACGGAAAGCACGAGCGAGCGGTCGGCACAGGATGCGACGACGTCGGCCACGTGCGGCGACGACCCGCGGTTCGCGCTCTGGGCCGTCCGTGACCCCGAGAACAGCGAGGGCGGGCTCGTGCTGTGCGCTCGCAGTGGCCGCACGGCGCCGGCAGAGGTGCCTACAACAGGGCCTAGCTCCACGCCCCAGCCCGACGGCAAGCGACGCAGCACACGCGTCGCCGACGCGCCGAACAGGAACACCGCCCGTCCGCGGAGCGCCAGCCGGACGAGCAAGGTGCCGCCTCCGCCGTCGACGGTCTTTCCGCCGCCCGACCGAGCGTTCCTGATCGCGGCGACGCCGACGCTCATGGTCGCTGAGCTCACGTCTGAGATCGACAATCGCCTGCTCGCCGACTTCTTCTACACCTACCGCACCTTCATCACGCCGTCGGCGCTGCTGCAGCTGCTCACGCTGCGCTTCCGCTGGGCGATGACCGAGCGCGTCGAGCCGCGCGAGGAGGCCCGGCGGCGCATCGTGCGCGTGCGCACCTACGTGGTGCTGAAGCACTGGCTGCTGCACTTCTTTGAGGTCGACTTCCTGCCCGACCGCCAGCTGCGCCAGCAGCTCACCGACTGGCTCAATGCGCTCGGCGCGGACCCGCGCCTGGCTGCGCGGCCAGCAGACGCCAGCATCGTGCGCAGCCTCAAGAACACGGTGCGCTCGCTCAAGGCGCAGTACCAGAGCATGGGCATGAGTGCGCTGTTGATGCACGACGCCGGGCGGAGGCCGTCGTCTCACAGCGTGCAGCACCACCGCACCGCGAGCAGCAGCAGCGGCAGCGTCCACGACGCCGGCAGTCCGGCGAACACCAGTGTCAGCTCTGCCGGCACGCAGGAGCACGTCGATCTGGACTTTAGCGACGCCAGCAGCGACGACGTGCGGCAGTCGCCCGCCTCGGGACGCCCCAGCGGCGCCGGCCAGCGCGGCAACGTGCAGCTGAACATGGCAGCCGCGACGGCGCTGGGCTCGCCGATCTCGCCGACTGTGGCGGGCAACAGCGCGCACCGGCACACGCTGGCTCCGATGATGCCGCAGGGCCCTGCGCCCGCGCCGCAGCAGCCTCCAACGCTGCCGTCGTCGCAAGGTGCCATCTCGCGCGTCTTTGTCAACACTGTCGGGCGGATATCGCGCTTCAAGCGCGTGCTCGGCGCGCGGGGAGCGCACTCGGGCGCCTTTCCGGCTGTGCGCGATACCGTCGGCTTTGAGGGTCTCGAGTTTGAGGCCAACGACAGCGGCGACCTGCTCTTCATCCGCGGCGGGCTCGAGAACTTTATCAACTTTTTTGGCCTGCGCTCCGACGACGATGACGACTCTGGCGAGCTGCTCTCGTCGGAGGACGGCTCGCGGCCTGGCCACACGAGCAGCGACAGCGCCGGCTTGCACGAGTCCGAGACGAGTGCGCCGGCGCGCAGCACCCCGGCATCGTCGCTGGATCTCTCTCAGGGTGAGGCTGACAAGCTATCTCCCGCGCACGAGGCCGGGCTGGGCATCGAGGGTCTCGACATCGCAGACGAGAGCCTGTTGGGCGCCACGAGCCAGGCACCTCTTGACGCCGCAAACTTGCACTCGCTCGAGCTAGAGCACAAGCAGCTTGAGCTGTCGAGCAAGAACGAGCTGCTGCACCACACGACGAGCGCGCAGACGCTGCGCTCCCAGTCGACTGCCGGCCCACCGGAGCGGGGGCCGCTTTCGGCCGAGGAGCGGCAGCCGACGATTATGTCGCGCGCCTTTGACGACGGACGCCTCAGCATGATGAGCTCAGCCTCGTCGATGTCCGCGCGGCCGAACATCGTGCAGATCGACGACATCACAGATCTGTCCAGCGACGAGGACGACGGCGCTGTGCGCAGAGCCTTGCGACGCCTGCCTGGCGCGCGCGACCTGCGTATGGCCAAGCATGTCCACGATCTCGAGCCTGAGCCCGCGCGCTCGAGCTTCGACACGCTGGCCAGCGGCTACGGCCGGCCGATCGACGCACGGTCTGTCGCCTCGTTCAGCTCACACGGTCACGCCAGCTCGCTCGGGCACGGCAGCTATGCGCCGTCGATTATCGCCATGCAGCAGCAGCGTGCCGCCGACGCTGCCCTGCACCCGCAGGTGATCGGCACGGTGACGACCGACCTGTTTGATCCCGACGAGGCGCTCGTGGGCTACGAGCTCGTCAAGGGCTTCAAGCTCGACGACTTTGACAGCGACGAGGAGGAGGCTGGCGACATTGAGGCGACGCTGCGGCGCCTCGAGGGCGTCATCGACGAGGACAAGCAGCGGCAGAAGGCGCTGCGCGTCGAGAAGCTGTGGCTGGAAAGCTGCGCACGCAAGGCGCGCGAGGACGGCGACGCGCCGCCTGCCGAGCACCCGGCGGATGCAGACGTGTCCGATGCGGAGGTCGACTCTGTCGCGTCCGTGCGAGCGCTGGCGCCGGACTCGCTCAATGCCGCGGCATCGTCCGACTCGAAGACGGAGCTCGACGCCCTGCTCGACGCCGTCGCGGCATCGAGCACGCGCGACACGCTTGCAGCCCAGCGGTCACAGCTGCCTGCTGTCAAGGACAGCGCTCCTCTGCCGCTCGGCTCGCCGACGCGCGTTGTGTCGCAAAGCGGGCGGCGCTCGACGGCCCGAGCACAGCAAACGCCGACACTCGGTGTGCCGCGCGGCGTGTTCCAGCTGCCGCCCGTGCACCACTCGTTCCTGCTGGGCGCGACGTCCGAGACGGTCGCGCGCCAGCTGTGCCTCATCGAGGCGGAGCTCTTCAAGGCCGTCTCGTGGGAGGAGCTCGTGTCGAACGACTGGAAGGCCAACGTCGGCGAGGTGCTCGACTGGGAGAGCTTCTACCAGGCGCGCGTGCGGCGCAAGACCGAGGCGCGCCAGCGCGGCCAGCGCGTCGGCGAGGGCGCCGTCGAGGCCATCGTCGCGCGCTTCAACCTGGCGTGCAACTGGGTCGCCAGCGAGATCGTGCTCACGCAGAACGTCGACGAGCGTGCGGCCGTCGTGGCCAAGTTCATCCGCGTGGCCTTTGTGAGTCGTGCCAGGTGCGGCGCATCATCGGTAGAAGCTGACACCCCTGCGCGCAGAAATGCTACCAGCAGTCCAACTTTGCGTCGCTCGCGCAGATCGTGTTCGGCCTGCAGTCGCCGTGGGTCGAGCGCCTGCGGCGCACGTGGGCCAAGGTCGGCATGTGGGAGATGCGCGTGCTGCGCGACCTCAAGTCGTTTACGAGCCCGCTGCGCAACTTCCGCCTCATGCGCAACGCCATGCGCGACATGATCCCTGAGGCGGGCATCGACGACCCCATCACGTTTGCCGGCACGCGCGGTGCGCCGGCCTCGAGCTACGGCGCATCGGGCAACACGGCCAAGGGCACGGTCAGTGAGGGCTGCGTTCCGTTCTTTGGTGAGTCGTGTGTGTAAGAGCGGAGGTGCGGCTGCTGACGGCTCGACCCAGGTCTCTTCATCTCCGACCTCGCCGTCAATGACCTGCTGCACTCCTTTGTCGACCCGTCGTGCCCCTCGGCGCCCGTGCCCGCGCACAAGGCGCTCAGCCGCGACAACAGCTTTGCCTTTACGCCTGCCGAGCCGCACGCCTTCGACCACCTGCCGCCGCTGCCCGCGGGCGTGCCGATCCGGCCGCTCGTCAACGTGTACAAGGCGCGCACGACCGCGCTCATCGTCAAGACGGTGCTGGCGTTCCAGCAGCGCGCCGGCCTGTACACGTACACCGCCGACGCCAACGTCTACGTCAAGACGCTCAAGATCCGCTGCCTCGACGGCAACCAGATGACCCAGTGAGTTGCGTGCTCTGCGCAGGCGGCGCACCCCGCTGACAGCTCTGCGCAGGATCTCGCACATTGCCGAGTCGTAATGCCGCACGAATGCCACGCCACCTCCATCTAACCCCCTGCGCGCCCACGCGTCCCGGAGCCGCACCTCTACTTACCCGCCTGCTGCCTTCTCTGTCACCCGTGTCAATCCATCCCATGCGCTATCAGCTCAGCGGCGTGATCGTGTCAGGCACGATCTGCGGATCCGTGCCTGCCCATCCGGCGTGGCGCCTGGGGCGGAAGAGACGCTCCTCTGCGCACCCGAGCCAGTGGGACGCGGCACAGGCCGCGACTTCCGGTCTGCTTGCTCTCATGCTTGCCCCGCGTGAGCCTCTCCCTGCCTTCTTTCGGAGCCCCGAACAGACGACAGCGCAATCGGGGCTGCATCAAGCTGACAGCGTGGAGAAGACGGGAGCGCCCTGCCGCTTGCCGGAGGCTGGTCAATGCGGCGCTCACCAAGATGCACCGCCTCCAGCGCTCTCCCTGTGGGAGCGAGTTTGCTGGCGGTGGATGTTTCTTTCGAAGCATCGCCCCTTGCACCCCTTGTCCTGCCCTCATACATACAGCGTCAGGGGCACAGGACACACACCACTTTCGATCGCGCCGCGCATCTCGGAGTAGAAGCGTCGCGAGCAGGCGGCAGAGCAGGGCGGTGCAGCTGCCACAGAGGCACAACCGGGCCGCCTGCTGGCAATGAGGGGTCGCGAGGGCCGTCTGTCGGCCGGCTGCGGCGCAGCGCCGGCCTGGCCGGAACACGCGGCTGACGCCTCGCTCGTCGGTCAACGCATGAACGCAGGGCAGCGCCGGCCCGACGTGCTGCCGCGGCCGTCGTGTGGGGAGCGGCGCACCTCGCCAGAGGAAGAGCTGCACAGCGTCAGGCACACAGTGCGCAGTGCAGCGATGCGCCGGCGGCTCGAGCCTCGAGCGTGCCGCAGCGAGTGCCCGCCGTCCGGCGTCCGGCCAGTGCCATTCCGCCGCCAAGACGCAGCGCCGGAGGCTTGGGCAGCGGAGCCGCGGGCGGCCGAGCTGTCGCGCTGCTGCGGAAAGTGATGGCCTTGCAGCGGCCGACGCAGCATCCAGCACCAGATGCAGCAGCAGAGCGCAGGCGTGCAGCAGGAGCCGATGCGGCACTTTGCCAGCGCCGAGGAACCGGCCGTAGGCAGCCACTCTGCACTCCTGTCACGCCCGGCCTGCCCCTCGGCGGCGCACGATCTGCTGTGCGGGGTAGACGGCCGACGTGCGGGGAGTGCAGCCGCAGGAGCATCAGCGCAGCAGTGGCAGAGCCAGCCCAGCATCAGCAGCATGCCAGAGCACAGCCAGATGCAAAGCACCGTCAGGCACCGGCGCAGCAGCCCCAGTCAAGGCCGGGCGCGAGTTGGCCGCGATTCCCGCTGCTGGCCGCCTCGGTCCCTGCATGACGGATGCTGGAGTCAGAGTGCGCGTGCAGGTACAGCCGCGGAGCAGAGAGGCGACGCGGCGGGGCGCGAGTCAGCACAGCAGCGGCGCAAGCGGGCGGTGCGGAAGGAGAGGAAGCATGACGCGGCATCGCGTGTGCTCTTCGCGTTGCTCATAAGGCGCATCCGTCCAGCCTCGGCGCCCTCTCCCACAAACCCGCAGCACCGCACCGTGGAGGTCACCACCGCAATGTCACACACCCAGCCAGCCACGCTCGCCGACGAGAAGCACGCCGCCGACGCCACAGCGCCCGCGACGGCCACCATGGACCGCGACAGCAGCGTCGAGGAGAAGGGCTCCATCTCGCACAACCCGCTCGCCGACCTGCGCGAGGCCACCGAGAAGGGTGCCGTCGACGACTTTGGTCGTGCGGCCGTGCGCTTCGACGAGGCGGCCGAGGCGCGTCTGCGCCGCAAGATCGACCTGCACATTCTCCCGCCGGTGAGTGCGCCGTGCGAGCGTCCTGCTGGGTTGCCATGGCTCATGCTTCTCAGGTGGCACTCATCTACATTTGGTGCTTCATCGACCGTGCCAGTGCGTCGCCAGAGCGTTGGAGAGCGTGGCGGTTGCTGACGAGCGCCGGCAGACATTGGCAATGCGCGACTCGCCGGCCTCGAGCGCGACTTGCAGCTGCGTGGCTACGACTACAAGTGAGGCAGCTGCAAGCGCGGCGCCGGCCCTCACGCTGACTCCGGCGACCCAAAGCACTCTCCTGTCGATCTTCTACGTCAGCTATATCCTGTTTGGTCAGTTGCGAAGGCTCGGCGGGGGATGAAGGGCTCTGCGCGGTGGTCAAGGGCGCTGCGTCGTGGTAGCGGGCGGCTCACGCTTGTCATCCACAGAGATCCCCGGCACGGTGCTCTGCAAGCGCATGGGCCCTGGTCGCTTCCTTCCCCTCGCCACTATGGTCTTCGGGCTGCTGTCGCTCTGCTTCGCCTTCGTTGGCAGCGCCAACGACCCCTTCGGCGCAGCGCTCGCCGTGCGCTTCCTGCTGGGCGCTGCGGAGGCGCCGGTGCTCCCGGGCATCGCCTACTATATGTCGTATGTGCCAATTTCGTCTTGTACTTGCATGCTGAAAGCCAACCACCTTGAACAGGCGCTGGTACAGAAAGGACGAACTCGTCTTCCGCCTGGCCTGCTACATCGTGTGCGCACCGCTGGCTGGCGCGGTCGGCGGCCTGCTCGCATCGGCGATCCTGACCATCGACAACATCGGTATCATCCGCCAGTGGGAGCTCATGTGAGGCGAAGCGTCTGACATGCAGCTGCGAGAGGCTGACCGCGCGCAACAGCTTCTTCATCGAGGGACTCGTGACCATCGCTGTCGGCGTCATCGCCTACTTCACAGTAACAGACCGGATCGGAACCGCGCGCTGGCTGAGCGAGGAAGAGCGCGAGCTCGCTGAGGCCAGGATTGCGAGCGAGAATCCGCGCGCAAACGCCGTGCTGGACCAAGTGCGTGGCAAGATGATCCTGAGAGGTGTGTTCAATACCACCTCCATGCTGGCCGGACTAGCATTCCTTCTCGACAACATTGCTGTGAGTCAGCGTGTCCGCATCGCCGTCCTCGACAGCTAACCGATTCTCCTCTTCTCCCTGGCTGCGGCGCGACCAGGTCCAAGGGTGAGTCTCGCATGCGTCTGACGGAGAGCTCTCCTCTTGCTGACAAGCCTCCGCCCGCAGGATCGGTGAGCAGCAACAGCGGCTGCGACACCTGAGGTTGCGCGCTGACACCCTCTCGCAGCCTTCTTCACGCCGACCATCGTGCGCGCGATCTTCCCCGGAAGGAGCACGGTCATCATCCAGGTGGGTCTGCTCGCAGCGGACGCTCACCCGCTCCTTGCTGATCACGTCTCTCAGCTCCTCACCGTGCCGCCGTATATCGTCGGCGCGATCAGCGTCCTCGCGATCCCCTTCTACTTCCAGAAGCGCCCGCGCTGGATCTCGGTCGTCCTTTGCGGCACGATCATGGCAGTGTCGTACGCCATGGTCCTCGGCTCTCGCAACCGTAGCGTACGCTATGCGGCAACGTTTCTCGGGGCCCTTTCAGCTTTCCCTTTGGGCGCCATCTTGCCTGGTTGGGCGAGCACGAATGCAGTCAACGACAGCCAGCGCGCCGGCGCCATCTCAACCGTCATCATGATGGGCAACGTCGGCGGCCTCATCGCGACGTGGACGTACCTGCCTGCGTATGCGCCCGATCAGCGCCCCGGCAACGGCCTCAATACGGCCAATGGCGCAACCATTGCCCTTATTGGCATGCTGCTCGCCTTCCTGCTTACGCGAGAGAACAAGAAGCGCGCGCAGGGCAAGCGCGACCACCGCCTCGACGGGCTCACGCCCGAGGAAGAGGAGACGCTGGCGCACCGCCACCCTCGCTACCGCCTGCGCATCTGAGGCTCTCTCCCCGTGTACTCTCTCCTTCACGTCGCCTGTATCCGTCGCCCGCCTGTGACCCTGCGTGTCCGCTCTTTACCCGACGCAACCTCACGAGACCTTGATCTGTCACCGCCTGTGCCAGACCGTGCTGCGTCTCGTCTGCCATGGCTGTGAGCCTGTCCTTTGCTTGATGCTGAGCAGACTAGAGCTGCGTGCCGGCGCCTCAAAGCAGCGAGCCGGGGCTCATGCTCGGCATGGCAGCCTCGCTCGCTTGCGCCTCGCGCCTCTTTTAGCGCTTCCAGATGACGTGTGGGCGTCCCGCGCGCGCCAAGCGAAGCGCCGGCGAGCAAGGGCAGCGGCACGCAGCAGCATCACCAGCAGGAGGTGCAGCCGCAGCGCCGAGACTGCGCGACGCTCGCGCCATCAGAGGCAGCAGCAGCAGCAGCAGCACGTCGAGCGAAGGCTCTGAGCAGCGAGCGGCTCAGGCTGCGGCTGCGGGCCAGAGAGCAACACGGCGCACGGCGCGCACAGCAGCAGGCAGCGCCACGCCTCTGCAGCCGACGCTTCCGCACAGCCACGCGGGGAGCGGCGGGAGAGACTAGCTCAGAGCGCGCTGGCAGCACAGGCTGCAAGCGGAGACAGGCGGCAGGCTCTCAGGCTCTGAGTGCTGCATCGAGCAGGTGCATCGCAATTGAAGAGCGGCTGTGCTGGCGGCGAGGCTGCGAGAGCGAGGCGCGCCCAATTTAGCCGGCGGCCCGCTGGCGCGCCGCAGGTACAAGAGCACCCGGCCCGTGCGCGCCGGCCCTCTTCCTCACCACCACACCACCACACCACCGACACCACCACACCTTCCCACCCCACGCACACACGCCTGTCATGGAGGGGATGATCAACCAGGCGAATTCGTTCCTGAAGAACGACAAGAGCGGCCTCGGCGACGCCATCAACAACGCCGGCGGCGGCGGCGAGGCGGGCGAGCGCAAGGAGGGTGAGTGCGCCGCGCACGGGCAGAGGCCGCAGCATGGCTCCTGCTGACGCGTGCCGCTGAAGACTACCTCGACAAGGCACGTCCTATCCGATCGACTCTGCGACACTTGATCGCTGACCCCCGCGCAGGTACTGGATGCTGGCCAGCAGTTCGCCGGCCAGGGCGACCAGAGCAACGAGACGGCCGTCGAGCAGCAGAAGGACAACTTCATCGCGGACCAGATCCGGTGAGCGCGGGACCTCTCGCCTGTGCGCCTCGCCGTGCTGACGCTCTGATCCCTGCAGCTCGAACTACAAGAAGTTCGCGGGGTGAGTGCGCTGCTCGCCGTCGACGCAGACGCACGGACCAGCGCTGCGGCACCGCGCTTGCGGCGCATCGGCTGAACCTCTGTCCTTGTCCTGTCCGCTTACAGAAGCGACTTCCCGTGAGTACAGTTCGCGGCTCGCGTCGACTCTAAGAGCTGACAGCCTCTCTGATCCGCAGCATCAAGGACGGCATGGGCGCCCAGGAGCAGTAATCGAGCAGCACGGCACATCCTTCCGCTCGACCGCTCGTCAGCTTCTCAGCTTCTCAGCTCGTGAACACACTCTCAATCAACACCTCATGAACTTCGCACCGAGTGTCGTCTGTCTCATCAGCAGTGCGTCTGGGCCCTCTGATCGTTGCTGCACGAGACCGAAGACGAGCGCACGGGCCAACAGTCTGTGCTGCGGCGCCTCGTGCCTGTGCCCTCGCTGTCTCGTGCCTTGTTGCAGGTCTCCGGCCTGTCAGCTTCGTCCTCTGGCTTCGCTTTGCGCTTAGTCTCTTGACCGAGCGCGATGACCGGTCTGGCCGCTGCAGTCTGCACCTCTGAGGGCCGGTCGGGTCTGTCAGCGCTGCACCCCGCACCGCACGTCGTGACATGGCCGCGATGGGCGAGTGCGGCAAGCCTTCGCGCCGTGAGCGGTTGTCAACGTCTGTGGGGCCGCTGCAGCACCGAGAGGATCTTGAGTACATGCACATCCAGCAGGCTCGGCAGGCCGGAGCCGCTCGGGCATCGACACGACCCGCAGCAACAATGCACCGAGGGTCCGCTTAATGCCTGCACCAGCAGCGGCGCGATGCGAGCGCAACTTGCCCTCCCGCCTGTACCAGCCCCTCACCAGCGAGCACAGCGCCAACGGCCAAAGGCTGGGCGCTCCCAGCGCATGCGCGCTGCCAAGGCGCCACGGGTCCGCCTCGCCGACGCGTCGCCGTTGAACGAACGCGCGCGCCGTTGGATACGCACCCGCCGCAGCCGCACCGGCCGCTGCCGTGGCTGCCCCGCTCAGAGATCAGCATCTACCCGAGGTGGTCCCTAGTGAAGCTCACGCGGGGTCATAAGCAGCATGTATTGCCATCCTCGGGCCGCTCCTCACGCCTCTTCGTCCCCACTCGTCCGCCTCACCCGACGCCCACACGGCACCACGCTCTCTTTTCTGCTTCTGCTCCACTTTCTCACCTCGGCCTTTGCCTTCTACCTGCGGTTCTCGCTCCTCCTCTCACACACGGCCATGTCGTCGATCAGCAACAGCCTCAAGCGCCCGCAGCGCGCCGCCGCGCTGCGCTCGCACCTGCCGCAGGACCTCGTGGCGTGCGTGGGCGAGTTTGTCGGCACGACGGCCTTTCTCTTCCTCGCCCTCGGCGGCGCCAAGACGGCGCTGGTGCACGCCAGCGACGACACCAACTCGACGGTCATGTTCGTGGCGTGCTCCTTCGGCCTCAGCATCCTCGTCACCATCTGGTCGTTCTACCGCATCACCGGCGGCCTCTTCTCGCCCGCCGTCACGCTCTCGCTGCTGCTCTGCGGCTGCGTGTCGCCGCTGCGTGCGGCGATGCTGACGGTGGCGCAGATTGCCGGCGGCATTGCCGGTGCGGCGCTCGTCGAGGGCCTGCTGAGCAGCCCGACGCACGTCTCCGTCGCCACGACGCTCGGCGACGGCGTGTCCATCGTGCAGGGCCTCTTCATCGAGGCGCTGTGCACCGCCGTGCTCGTCTTTGTCGTGTGAGTCTCACGACGAGACATGTAAGTTGCTGCTGACAACCGCACCAGCCTCATGCTCGCCGCCGAGAAGCACTCGTCGACAATGCTCGCGCCCGTCGGCGTCGGCCTGACCGTCTTTGCGTGCCACCTGCTCGCTGTGCCGTACACTGGGTGCGTTATGCCGTCTGTCTGGTCGACGCATGCTGACTCCTGCTGCAGCTCCGGCCTCAACCCCGCGCGCTCCTTCGGCCCATCCGTCGTCGCGGGCCACTTTGAGGGCTACCACTGGATCTACTGGGCAGGCCCACTGCTGGGCTCCGTCGGCGCCTCGGCGTTCTACCTGCTGCTCAAGACGCTCGACTACACGCGCGTCGTGCCCGGCCAGGACGCGACGCACGCGGACCCGGCCTCGGCGCCGCGCCCGCTGCACCAGGGCATCTTCCGGCGCCGCGCCGGCGGCGGGCAGGTCATCGTGTACGCCGTCGACACCGAGGAGCGCCTTGCGAGCATGTCGGCGCTGGACCGCGCCGTGGCACGCGCGACGCCGCAGGTGCAGCTCTTCGACCCGCTCGACCAGGCGCAGGCGGGCGCCGTGCAGGCGGGCGAGGCCGTCATCATCGACCTCGGCGAGCCGGGCGAGGCGCACCACGACGACGGCGCGTGCGGCGGGCCGTCGATGGCGGCGCAGCGGCAGGACGTCGGCGGCATCTGCGCACCGGGCACGGCGCCCGGCGGCCTGCCGCTGCCGGCGTCGACCAAGGCCGGCCTGAGCGGCTAGGCTCACCTGGCCGAGCCGCTGCATCTGCACACTCTCCCACCGCCAGTCGCCCTGTCCCAGACTGACACATACCCGGCGCTGCGAGTGCCCACCCTCGCCGCCGTTCCTCGCTTCTCCGTCTAATCACAGCTCGTCTCTCTCGTGCTCCGTGTGCGTGGCCTGCGTGTGCATTGTGCGGTGTGCGCGTTGAGGTGGTGGTTGGAAGGCAGGCCACCCGCGATGCGCTGCACGCGCCCGAGGCTGTTCCGCGGCTCTCTGGCGGCCCCTGCACGTCCCTGCACTGCACTCTCCACTCGTGGCTCCGCTCCTCCACACTTCCAGCTCGCCTTCACCGCAGTCCCCACTCTCGCTGCCTGCGCACCTGCTCGCACTGTCGTCTCTCGTGCGCCCGCTCCTGCAGCGGCTGGCGCGCCCTTCCCTGCACGCTCCTCTACCGCTCGCCCGCGCCATGTCCCAGGCAGCGGCGTCGCGCACCGTCGCGCCGTACGGCCTCTGGGCGTCGCCCATCTCGGCCGACCTGCTCACCCAGGCCGCCATCTCCTTTGGCGACGTGACTGTGCTGCCGGCGCGCGGCAAGGCGCCGGCACGCATCGCCTACGTCGAGAACCGCCCGTTCGAGCAGGGCCGCTCGGCCCTCGTCTCCCTCCCTGTCCCCGGCGCTGCGAGTGAGAAGGCGCCCGAGGGCACGGATCTCCTCACACGCGCGCACTCGGCGCAGAGCGGCGTACACGAGTACGGCGGCGGTGCCGTGGCCGCAGCGCCCGGCGGCGAGAACTTCGTCTTCACGCAGGCCAAGACGTGTGGCATCTTCGAGGCGCGTCCGGGCGCCGAGCCGCGCCGCCTGCGCGAAGGTCAGCTCTGCTGCTGCCCAGAGCGAGGTCACCGCTGATGCACATACTCGTTGCAGACAGCAAGACGTCGCGCCTGGCGGACTTCTCGGCGCACCCGTCGCTGCCGCTCGTGCTGTGCGTGCACGAGGACCACACCGTCGACACGCCCGCCGGCGTCGTCAACACCATTGCCTGCCTCGACACGCGCGACGGCACGCTCTACACGCTGGTGAAGGGCCCCGACTTTAGCGTGTCGCCGCGCTTCTCGCCGTGCGGGCGCTTCGTGGCGTGGGTCTCGTGGGACCACCCGAGCATGCCGTGGTGGGGCACGCAGCTGTGGGTCGCGCGCTTCCTGCACCAGGCCGGCCGCCCGCCGGTGGTGTCCGAGGCGCGCTGCGTCGCCGGCTCGGCGCGCGAGGTGGCGCAGATGCCCGTGTGGGCGCCAACGAAGCCCGACGAGGACGCGGCGCTGTACTTTACCGACGACGAGACGGGCTTCGCGAACCTGTACGAGGTGCGCGTGCGCGCCGAGGACGAGGACAACCTGCGCGTCAGCGACAAGCTCGCGCTGCTCAAGGCGCCGCCGCAGAGCGACTTTCAGCAGCCCGCCTGGCAGCTCAACGGGTGAGTGCTCTTGGCACTGCCGGTCTGTGACCTCGCTGACTTTGTGCTAGCTCCTTCTTTGTGCCGCTCAACGCCGAGTGGCTGGCATGCTCGATGATCACGCGCGGCATCCACTCGCTCGCCCTCGTGCACCTGCCGACACGCACGCTGCGGCCGATGGAGACGCCGTTCCGCGTCATCTCGCAGCTGCGCGCCGTTGACGAGCACCGTGTCGTCTTTGTTGGCACGCGCTTCGACGAGCCGTCGGCGCTCGTGCTGATGGACGTGTCGGGCGCCAAGAAGGGCGCGGCGCCCAAGTGGCAGGTGCTCAAGCGCAGCAGCGACGTCGTGCAGAACGGCACCGTGCCGCGCGACTATCTCAGCCAGGCGCAGACCGTCGAGTTCCCCACGACGCTGCCCGACGGCAGCAAGAGCACCGCCCACGCCATCGTGTATCCGCCGCTCAACCCGTGCTACGCCGCGCCCACGGGGGCGGCGCCGCCGGCCATCATCCTGGCGCATGGCGGTCCGACGTCGGCCGCCGACGCGGGCCTCAATCTCGGCGTGCAGTTCTGGACGACGCGCGGCTTCCTAGGTGCGTGTCGTGGCATGCAACGCGGCAGCACCAGCTCACAATGCGCTGTCAGTCTGCAATGTCAACTACGGCGGCAGCACCGGATGTGAGTACAATTGCGGCACGATCAGCCATGCCTGCTGACGGTTCCCTCCACAGACGGCCGCAAGTACATGTGAGGATTGCGGCCACGCAGGCACGCTCTCGCAGCTGACGCATCTGATCCGACAGGGAGCGTCTCAACAAGAACTGGGGCGTCGTAGACGTGCGCGACTGCGCCGCCTGTGCCGACTGGCTCGCGTCTGACGCTGGCGCCGGCGGGCCCTCAGCCAGTGTCGCTTCCAGTGCTGCGCGTGCCTCGCGCTCGTCGAGCGAGGCCGGCAGGGCGCAGCTGTCACTCCTGAGCGAGCGCCGCCAGCCTGACGGCACCATCGAGCTGACGCTGCTCAACGAGCACGCCGGCTGGTCGCTCGGCGCCGTTGACTGTGCCACAGCTGTGCTCTTCAGCGGCCTCATTGCCGGCGTGCAGCAGTACAGATATGTGAGTGCTGCTGAGACTGTGGTCCGTGTCCCTTCGCTGAATCGCTCCACAGGGCGCCGTCGACTTTATGCCGCTCCTCGGCATCGCCATCGCCGGCGTGCTCTGGCTCTGGCGCCACCTGAACCAAGTGCAGCAAGGTGCGGTGCGGCGTGATGGCTAGGTGCGCCTTCACTCATCCTCCCTCGGCGCAGAGACCGTCACGAGCATCCCGGACATCGGCATCCAGCTGACGACCGTCAAGGGCTTCGCGATTCCGTGGGTGCACGCGCGCCGCGCGCGCCTGCGCGCGGCGCCCAAGACGACGCTGCCCGGCTCGCGTGTGCCGACGACGGTGGCGGCGCACTTCCAGGCGACATCGCTGCGCACGCGCCTCATTCCGCGCGACTCGATCCTCGACGTCGTGACCATCGAGGCGTTCCGCCGCTGGGGCGTCATGGACTATCTGGCCATCTCGACGCGCGCCGCCGAGGGCTACGAGGGTGCGGGACGCGGCGGCAAGCTCGAAGTCATGTTCCCTGTGAGTAGTGTTGAGAGTTGACTACGCCCTGTGCTGACACGTGGTGCAGCACCTGCTGCCGCGCCTGCCGGTCGTCGAGCATGTGTTTGAGCGTCTCTTTGACCGCCCGCCGCCAAAGGAGGCCACCGGCTGGGACCCTGTCAGGATGCAGAAGATCGCCGTCACGAAGCAGGCGGACACGCCTGTGGTCGCGCCGGCCAACGTGCCACGCGTCGACCCCAGCAAGATTGCCATCGCTGGCGGCAGCTCGGGCGGTGAGTGCAACCGGGCGCAGTGCTTCTCCTGCCGCGCTCACACACGCTGCAGGCTACACGGTGCTCGCTGCGCTGTGCCTCTATCCCGACAGCTTCAATGCCGGACGCTCGTCGTACGGCATCAGCGAGCTGACCGCGCTCTGTGAGTCGCGCGACCGCTGTTCCCTGCCATACGCTCACGTGTCTCTTCCGCCAGACCGCCTCTCGCACAAGTTCGAGTCGCGCTACCCCACAGCACTGCTCGGCGGCACGCCCGAGGAGGTGCCGCAGGTCTACCACGACCGCTCGCCGCTCTACATGGCCGACCGCATCCGCGCGCCCGTCATTTTCTTCCAGGGCGCCGAGGACAAGGTGGTGCCGCCGGCGCAGAGCGAGGAGATCGTGCAGGCGATCCGCAAGCAGGGCGGGCGCGTCTCGTATACGCTCTTCGAGGGCGAGGGCCACGGTGTGTGGGCGCGCGTGTGCGTGCGCTGCAGCGATGCTGACGCACCCCTGCAGGCTTCCGGCAGGCTGCCCACCAAAAGGCTGCGCTCGAGGGCGAGCTGCAGTGGTACATCGACGTGTTCAAGCTGGCCGGCAAGGCGTAGCGGCATGCATGCAATTGAAGCGCAGTCGACGGACCTAGAGGAGAGGCAGCGTGAGCGTGCGGTTCCCTGGCGCGTGGCAGGCAGAGCGGTGCGTCTCAGGCAGTGAGTAGGATCGGCAGCGCGTGCGCCCCAGGCCGGACGGCGATGGGGCGCGTGCATGGTACGAAAGAACACAGCGATGTGATTGGATCATCGTCGACGCGGGTGGCTGGCCGGGCTACTCACAGGAGGGAGGGGTGGTGGAGTGAGCATCTCGGCGGGTGCGTCGCCGCGCGCTCCTGGAGCGCTTCTTCCTGCGAGATGCACACACGTGATCGCGCCGCCCGTCGTGCTCCCACGCGGCACGTGCCGGGCGCCTTATCGCTTATCGCGACTAGCCTGGGAGCGCCTCGCGGAGGGCGGAGGCGCTGGCGGAGCTCGCAGCGCCAAAGCTTGGCCTGCCTGGCGAGGGCGACGAGGGCAGCCCTGCGACACTCAGAATGCAGACTCACAACTGCAGCTGGCGGCTGTGATGCGTGGCGCTGCTGCTGTGGCGAGCTCGAGGTGGACGTGCGGGGAGCGGGAGGGACAGAAGCCGGCGCAGCAGCAGCTGAGGCCCGCTGCGGGCGACGCCGAGGCGAGCAAGTCTCAGAAGTGCGTGCACCACAAGCCGGTACGAGGCAACAGAAGGACGCGGGACGGATGCTTGTGGCGTCGGTGAGACGGCATGCTGTCTCTGCGGTCGTCGGGAACGAGAGTCAGCAGCGAGAGGGGCGTGTGGGGCTCGGCGCCGCTCTTCGGAGGCAGCACGGCGCGGTTTGAGCCCGTCGGGGGAGCGCTCCGGACGAGCATGAGCGTGCTCGACTCTGAGCTGCGAGCGGCGGTGTGATGCAGATGCACAAGGTACAAGCTGTCTCGAGAGCGACAGCACGCGGGCGCGAACGAAGCGCATGACAGATCGGCAAGCACCCCTCGCAGCACGCAGCACCCTGCGCTGCAGCGGCGCGAGCCTCTGCGCTGGAGCACGAAGCGTGAGAGGAGATGTAGCGGACCGCTGCGGCGATCTCATGGGCCGGCGCAACGCTGCCGGGGCCGAGCGTGAGGCACAGCGGCGCAGCAGCCAAGGGCAGCCGGCAGCGGGCAAGGCGATAGGCGGCGCGACGAGTGCGCGACCCACCGCAGCGGAGCACGCGTCACGGCACCGCAGCCGCCGCACGCGCGGCTTCCTATCTCTGTGCCGCCCATTGCTTGCGCCGCTGCGAGCAGCGTGACAGCCGCACCCAGCATCGCAGCCGCCAGGCACAGCAGCAGCACAGCGCATGGCACGGCGGCGTCGTGCAAGCCACTCGAGCTGCGTCAAGCTGCTTGCTGGGCGGAGCGTGGCGCTGCGCCGCGGTGCCAGGCGACCCGCTGCGCCGCGTTGCAGGGGACGATCCGCAGCACCGCGTGCTCCTCGGGCCCTCATAAGGCCGGCCAGGATGCTGTCCGCCGCCGCAGACCCCAGCACTCCACCATGTCGCACGCCGTCCACTCGCCCGCGCCGTCGTCGCCCGCCATCGGCTCGTCGATCGGCACGCCGACGCAGAGCATCTTCGACACGCCCGCCGGCGCGCACCTGCGCGACGACGCCTCGTCCTTCACCACCGCCGCCAGCCTGCGCAGCCGGCGCATCGACGAGGAGCCCGGCAAGGGCAAGCATGCCGCCGCGCCGCAGCACCGCAGCCTGCTCTCGCCTCGCCGCGCCGCGTCGGCGCGCCCCGAGCGCCGCTCGTCGAGCAGCCTGCCGGCGTCGTGGAGTGCGCCGGTGGGCCTCGCGCCGGATGCGCCGCGCCTGGCGCCCAAGCGCGGCCTCTCGCGCTCGCCGTCGCCGCTCGGAGACGGCCAGCGGCGCGAGGCCGCGCCCGAGCAGCCGGCAGCGGCCAAGCGGCACCACCGCAAGGCGCAGCGCCCCTCCATTCCCCTGAGCGACGCCGAGTCGGCGGCGCCGTTTGGCGGCAGCGTGTACAACGACGTGCCCTCGTTCCGCCACTTTCGCGGGCCGCCGTTCGACGACCTCTCGCCCGAGACGAGCGTCGACATGCACATGGCGCCCGAGCCGCGGCGCGAGCGGCGCGGCGACGCCGTCAAGTTCACGCACCCGTGGCAGGAGAGCAAGGAGACTGCGCAGCGCAACAGCGGCGGCTCGGCCGTCAGCCCGCGACAGGTGCACTCGGGCATTGTGCAGCCCTCGCGCTCGTCACGCCTCGCTCCGCAAGCCCGCGACGACCTCTCCGACGACGACGACGATAGCGACGCCTACACGCTCGACGACCCCGTGCCGCGGCGCACGCAGCAGCCACGCCCGCCGCAGCTCTCGATGCTGACCGACGCTAGCGGCCGCTTCATGGAGCCGGCCGACGACTCGAGTGGGCTGGAGGACGACGACCGCGTCACGGCGGAGCGCAAGCCGTCACTGCCAATGCCCCGCGATGCCGAGCTGCTCACCGACTCGGACAGCGACGGCTCGTCGCCGGCGGCGGCCGCCATCTCGCGCTACCTCAACGAGAAGCCGCGCGGCGGCCAGCGTCGCGCGCCCAGCCGCCAGCACGCAGAGACGGCCGAGGCCTTTGAGGTGGCGGCGCTGCGGCGCCAGGTCGAGCAGCTGCAGATGTGCCTCACGCAGCGCGGCCAGCTCTCGCCCGAGGTGCTGCGTGCGGCCGTCTCGCCCGTGCCGGAGGAGCGTCGCCGCAAGCGCGACTCGCAGCTGCGAGCTCAGGCCGTGCCGTCCTCCTCGGCTTACCGCGAGCCGCCGTCGGCGCGACACGCTGCTCGTTCGCCGCGCCCGGTCCGCGATGCCGTGCAGCCCGCGAAGGACTCGAGCCGCCGGGCCCAGCGCGAGGATGCCATGCGCATCCAGGACCTGGCGCAGAAGATCGAGCAGCTCGAGGCGCTCTTCCGCCACTCTGCCATGTCGCCGGTTGGCGAGCGCTCGCGCACTGCCGCATCGATGGTACACCACTCGTTTAGCGACGAGCGCGACGTCGAAACGCCGCGTGCGAGCGTGTTCACGCCTGCCGGTCGCCTCGAGCAGCGCCACCACTCGGTCGACGGCCGCGCGACGGAGCGCGAGGCTGTCGCTGCTCCCAAGCGCAAGGTCGAGAGCCGCAGCAAGACGGTGCGCCTCGCCTCGTCGAGCATGAGCATCGGCGAGCACTCGGGCGCCGAGAGTGCGTTCCACTACAACCCCACGCCGTACTCGATCAACCAGCTGGCGCCGGGCCGCGCCGGCAGCGCGACGGGCGCCGCCTCGGTCGACGGAGCGCTGCGCCGCAAGAAGGGCACCGGCGTCGCGCGCTTCATCCTCGGCGCCACCTCTGCGCGCCGCGCCGACGGCTCCACCGGCGAGGCGGCGCCGCTGGCCACGACGAAGATGAAGCGCGCCGGCCGCGGTGGTCTCGTCGCGGTGTCGTCGCCCGAGCAGAAGCGCGTGCCTCTGTGAGGCCGCCCATCCTCAACTGTCACCTCTCCTGTGTCACCTTAGCGCGTCATTGCATTAGTCACCCGTGCACCGCTAGTGGCGCGTGTACTTGCGGCGGTCGGTGAGGCGCCCGACCTTGATGTAGAGGAGCTGTGTGCGGCGTGTCAGTCAAAGGAGGGCTCTCCACGGAGAGCAGCTCGACGCGTACCTGTGCACGGTGGTTCTGCACAAAAGAGCGTCAGCATTGACTCTGGGCTCGAGCGAGGCAACGCACAAAGTGCTGCGTGTGCCAGTACACGTTGGGCGCGCCCTTGGCATCGGCGTCGGCATACACATGCTCGATGAGGCGCCGGCCGAGGCCGCCACAGCGCGAGTCTGGGTGCACGAGCAGGTCGTTGAGGTAGAGGGCCGGCTCGATGCTGCTCGTCGTCGGGTGCGGCATCCAGGTGACGAAGCCGAGCAGCGCGCCGTCGGACTGCTCGGCCACGGCGCAGCTGAACGTGCTGGTGGGATCAAGGAAGCGGCTGAACGCCGCGGCCGTCACCTCCTCGGCAACGGTGCGCTCGCTGTGGACGGGCCGTCAGCGCTGCAGCAGTGCCCACACCGCAGAGCACGGACTAGAACTCATTGTACAGCTGCCAGAGCCCGCGCCACGCCGCCTCGTCGCGCGACTCGATGGCGCGGATTGTGACTTGCGGCGCCGAGTCGGGCATTGTCTATCGGCTTGTGGTGGTAGTGGGAGGGAGCGGGGCGCCGCTGTCTGCCGTGCCCGCTCGAGCAGCGGGCGGAGGCGTGACTCGGCGCGTTTCCGTGCCTGGCGCTCCCGTGCGGCGCTCGTGGCTGGCGCTCCCGTCTCTCTGGCCAACCAAGTGACTCGAGCTTGAGCAGTTTCAGGGCGCTGCACATGCGCTCCAGAGCACAAGTGCGGAGCAGAGCGGCCGCGCTGGACCCCCGAGGGCGAGAGGTGGCACGTGCGCCGGCGCCGGCTCCGGGCCGCGTTTCGTGCCGCGCCGGCGGCGTCCCCGCATTCGCCTCGGGCGGCGCCGCGCTGCTCCTCTCCACATCCACCTCGTCCCCGGCCAAGCACACATCTCGCTCTCGCCAGTCTTGTCACTCAGCCTCGCTGCATCGCATCGCCACGCTGTCACTTGCCATGCGGGCCTCGCGCTACTTTGTCACGCCGTACTCGACGCCGCCGTCGGCGCCCGGCGCAGCGCCAACGTCGCGGCGCTACCGCTACGACCTCTTCGCGCCGGCGTCGGCGCTGCCGGGCGCGCCCCATGTGCTGCTGCTGCACGGCTTTCCCGACGCCGGCTCGCTGCGCGGCGTCGCCTCGGCGCTCGCCTTTGCCGGCTTCACCGCCGTGCTGCCCGACATGCTCGGCTACGGGCGCACCAGCAAGCCGCCGCAGACGCGCATCGCCGAGTACGGCCCGCACGCCATGGTCAACGATCTGCTCGCGCTGATGGAGAGTCTCGTGGGCCAGCAGCGCTTTGTCGTCGTCGGGCACGACTGGGGCTCGTTTCTCGCGTGGCGCTTTGCGCTGCATGCGCCGCAGCGTGTGCTCGGCATCGCCGGGTAAGTGCAGTGAAAGCGGAGAGTGGAGCGGGCAGTGGAGCAGCTGCACAGGTGACGCGATGGCTGACTCACTGCCCGCAGCATCTCGGTGCCGTACGTGCCGCAGCCGTCGCAGACGCAGTTCCTGCCGTTTGAGCGGCTGCTGCAGGTCGTGCCCTCGTTTGGCTACCAGGCCTTCTTTGCCGAGCCGCGCAGCTCGGCGCTCATTGAGCCTCGCGTGCGTACGCCGCCTGTCGTTCGAGCCGCGTGACTGCTGATGTCTTGGCAGATCGACGACTTCCTCAGCATGATCTTCGCCGCGCCGCGCGCCATGCGGACCGAGGCCGCGCGCACCTACGAGTGGAACGCGGCGGGCACGCTCGAGCGCATGCTCCAGCAGCCGCTCGCGCCCGAGACGCTCGCCGACTTTAAGCAGGCGGCGCTGCTGCGCGGCGAGGACTGGGAGCGCGTGCTTGACTGCTTCGACCCGAAGCGCGGCGGCAGCATCGGTGAGTGCGGATCTGCTGCGTTGTGCCCTCGCTGACGCGCGCGCAGATGCGCCGCTGAACTGGTACCGCTGCCGGCGGATCGCGTGGGAAGAGGAGCGCAGTGCGTGTAGGCGCCTCGGCCACTGCATTGCCACTGACACGCTCTCGCAGCTCTCGCGTCGCTCAAGCTGCCGCAGATGCCGTACCTGCTGCTCATGTCGACGCACGACGCCGCGCTGCCCGCGCAGATGGGCGCCGCGATGCCGAAGCACGCGCCGGCCGGCACGCTGCGCACGGCCGTGGCGCAAGGCTGCGGGCACTGGCCGCATCTGGAGCAGCCCAACTGGGTCGTGCAGCAGATCCGCGCGTGGCTCGAGGAGGAGGTGGGCGTGGGCCGTGCGGGCAAGATGTGAGGCGCGGGCAAGATGTGCAGGGCATACGAGGTGCAGGGCTTAATGGGAGGCGCAGAGCAGCAGGCGCAGGGCATGATGTGAGGCGCAATGAATGTCACTTCTCATCCTCGAAGCCAGCAGCGTGAAGTGCGGGGAAGCGTGAGCTGCGGCGGCGAAAAGCTCTCATGGCAGCGGCACTGCGGCGTCGTAGCGGCGCTGCCTTGGCCAACGGCGCGCCAATTGTCATCGAGGACGACGCTCACAACTTGCCAATCATCATTGAGGACAGCTGAGACAACAAGAACGTTGCGGCGCCCGTTGCTGGCCATCAACGCTGTAGTGAACGGCGCTGCGCCCAATGCGCCCATACTTGCCATTGCTGCCGCCGCTGCGCCCAGCCTGCAGCACTGACCACAGCACATGCCACACATCTTCATGCAGATGGCAGCACAACAATCTCATTGGCAACATTCAGCTTTGGGTTAGGGTTAGGGTTAGGGTTAGGGTTAGGGTTAGGGTTAGGGTTAGGGTTAGGGTTAGGGTTAGGGTTAGGGTTAGGGTTAGGGTTAGGGTT